ATCTATCATGCCTTTCAGTGAATATATACATATATGTCTATATGATTAATGTTTAAGTTTTTCACAATGAACAATGAGTTTTTTCTGAAGTGACATTTGAAGTTTCCAGGAAGAAGATGGGGCCCCATAACAACAACTCCACCTGGTTGATATGATGTCATGATACTGATAGCGCTACTACAAGACCTGCTTTGGGTACCAGCTGCACAAGACAGTTCCAACTTGGTTAGCTGAAATGGTGCACATCTTATACATTTTGGCCAGACCTGCACAAAATACTCAGAGACTATTTGCAATTTTAAAAGACATTGATCTTGAAATTTAACCATCATTTTACTTTCACAGGATCCCCCAGAAAGAACGTCGCCCCCATGACAGCTGGAAGTAATTCTAGAGGACGACGTCCCCTCTCCCAGTAAAGTTTGCCCTTGGGTTTAGGGACATCATTTAGGGGTTGATTATAATTAGTATATGATTGAGGGTTGGGGGAGGAATTTTATAAGCTCAGGGATCATTTTGAAAAAAAAAAGAGGGATGATGGGATAATAGATTTGTAATTGTGAGTTACTGTTTTTAGACAAATATATTGGTATAGATTTTTGTATATTGACACAAAGTTAAATTATATCGACTATTGTATGCATGCATGTTTCTACCTCTGTTTAAAACATTTTTTATGTATTGACATATATTGTATTGATATATATATATATTGTATATATTTACCATATTGCAGTGTACATTTCTACCTCTGATTAAGACACTTATATAATATTTGTGTATTGATATATATTTACCTACTGCAATGTATATTTGTACATTGTTTATATTTGTAGGTCATTGTCCTTATTTGTTTCACAGTCGTTTATTTTCTTAGTCTTTTTTTTTTTTTTTTTTGTTTTTCGAGACAGGGTTTCTCTGTGGTTTTGGAGCCTGTCCTGAAACTAGCTTTTGTAGACCAGGCTGGTCTCGAACTCACAGAGATCCGCCTGCCTCTGCCTCCCGAGTGCTGGGATTAAAGGCGTGCGCCACCACCGCCCGGCTTATATTCTTAGTCTTTAAATTAGATAGATATTGAGAATTATATAGATTAATAGTCATTTAAGTTTGTCATTTATAATTAGACTAATCAGGTTCTTTAGATATATAGAGATTATACTCAGTATAGATAGATAATCTTCAACTTCTTCAAAGAGCTGTAGAAAATGGCCTTTAATCTAACTCAGAGTTTTGTGGTTGTGAGACACAATTGCTCCTGGCAACACCGCTCTATTCCCGAGAGAATGTTGAGCACCAAAGACACTCCACCTGGAGCCTTTCTTTTTGGCAGAACTGGCCTTTGGGCAAAGAAATGCCCATACCTCAACGACTGACAAAAGATACAGAGCGTGCATCAATGGATAAAACAGGACTGTCATATCCTGCCAAGACAGGGTAAGATAGTTTTGAAAAGTTGCTTGCCTTAGAAAATGGTATGTCAGTTATGTTAGGCCTTAGCCAAAGTTGGTTGCTTCAACGCTGCTAATGTGACTTTGGGTGATTGCCCAGGTAGCTAGTTGTCTCTGTGATTTGTTGCATGTTTTGGAAGTTGTTTTACTGAACTTCCTAATTACCCAGGTAACATTATTTCCCTTCTCAGATCTTCGATGGGGTTGAAGACTATATAAATGTAGTTACTTTCTCTTATGACTTGGCCAAGTTATTTATTATACAAGACCAAGCTAGTTAGAATAGGATATTTGTACTTATTGTATATAATTTCATAGTAGGTTTAGAACTCTCTTATTTAAACAAAAGGGGGAGGTGTTGCGGGAGGTCCTCCCACTCCTCCAGCCTATAGCTGCTGAGATACCAGCCCATTGGGGCCTGGTCTCTCTCCCTTTAAAAAAGCGGCCACTTCCCTCTCCTCTCTCTCTTCACTTCCTGCTCCGCCAGTGACTAGACTCCCTTCCTGGTTGCATAGAGGGCTGTTGCATGGGACAGTGATCTGTAAGTTTTTTCCCCTTTAAATAAATTCCACCCTATTAATCATAATTCCAAACTGGTGTGGCATTGTTTTTGACTTACGCCTTCAAGGTTTGGATTAAATATAATTTTAAGAGACTTAAAAGTACATACCAGTTTAAAACATGAGACTTACTGATTTTGTAGTCTGAAAGGATATGTAATGAACAATTATTATACACAGAAAGAGTGAACAGGAATTGGGCAAAGTGGATGCTCTTACTGGGCCCTACCAAAGGCATGCCACTGCACAAAACACATGTAACAGATTCAACAAGAGGAATTTAGTGAAAACTGGGGGACAAGGCAGGGTATACTTCAGTAAAGATGGGAGAGCTTTGTCACCTGACCTGGCTCTTAGCCAAGATGGTGGCGAAGTCACCTGACCCTGGACAAAATAGCGGCAGCCACGCGTTGTATGAAAAAGCCATAATTTTTGTGCTATAAGGATTTGAAGCCTAATAAGAGGGACCTAAAGGTGTGACCTGCCCTGTCGCTGAGCAGCCATGCCACACCACAAGCTGCAGAGGGGAGCAAAAGGCTGGAACCAAAAAAAATGCACCATGTCATGGCTGAAATTGAAAAAGCTAGATGGAATTTTACAAAGGCAGGGGAACATGAATGGTTGTTTTTACAGCCGAAATCGTGAAAGCCTGTGAAACACTATAACAGGAACGTCTCCCCGTATAGGTGGGGTGCAAATCGGCGTGAACACCCAGGACCTGTGAGCTGGGCATCTCCCAACTCTGGGTGGGGTGTTATGGCCTGGCTGGATCTGGTCTGGTGACTCAGAAACCAGAGACCAGAGCCTGCTCTGAGCGGCCTTTTATGGGGAGGGAAGAAAAAGAAAAGAGAAGAAATGGAAAAAAAAGATGAAGAATCTGAGGGACCTTGGGTCCCCTGTTGAATGCACCGCACCAGGTGTACAGTGCTAACGTGGGCTGACAGACACATTATACAGAATAGAATTGGATTATTTATTAGTTAAATTATGGAGGGGAAGGAAAAAGGGGAGAAGAGGGTGAGAGAGAGAGAGGCTGGGAATGCAGAAGCTGATGGTTAGAAAGGTTCATCCCCATAGCTTCAGTGCCTTGATCAGCTCACTGGCTCAGAAGGTGGCCAGGGAATGGTCATTAGGTGAACACAGTGCCAGATTGACTGTGAGGTGTGGCGTGGTGATGAATAAGACTCCGTTCCTGCCCCTGGGAATTTGTAGTAGTTGGGAGATGCAGACAGACCAACTGTTGGTTTGTATGAGAGAGAAATCTGGATGGCTCAATCTTAATGGGGATGAAGAAAGGTAGAAAGTTCAGCAAACAGGAGTGCTGCCCTTCTGACAGCCCCGGCCCGGGGCCCTGTACAGCATGGCTTTACTTAGTCAAGGTGTGCACAGTTCAGACAGGGAGCTGGAATATGGCAGGAAGAAGTCAGCGATGACCCCAAATTAGTCATAAGACGACACTGTGTGTAGCTGTCTTTCCAGTCTTCTGCTCTAAGAGGAGGTAGAGTCTCACTTCTGCAGCAGGATTGCCAGTCTTAGGGAAAAGGAAAGATGGCTACAGGGCAGACTGCCTGGAGACCATGGGGTTTGCAGCAGGGTTGAGGCCTGAATGATAAAGCTAAGTCTTCTTTCTTTTGGTTTGCGTGGTAGTGATAGGTAATGCACAGACTTTGTGTCTGGCTTTGAGAGAAATGTTTCAGCAAAGCCTTTGCTATGTTTGGGTTAATCAGTAAAGGCTGAAAATTGTTTTGAGACTGTTGAAACCTTGAAGAAATGTCTCTCTGGAGACTCTGCACTTGGTGCTACATGAGAGTGCTTGCATCTACACCGACCTTGGTCCTAAGACACGCTTGGCAAACCTGGAGTTTGTACTTTGGTTAGGGCTATGTATTTAGATGCTCAGGCTGGGTCTATCCTAGCACTTTGGACCTGAGTCTGTGGCCACTTCCTATTTAGAGTGTCTTGCCACAAGGGGAAAAGGGAGTGAGAGGAGGAGAGAAACATGTCCAGCCCCTTTCTGGCAGTCACCACAACTCCCCAGTGTCTGCCTTTAGAGACCTGATAGCCACCTACTCCGGAGCACTTGCCAGCCCTCACCAGAGACCAGCTGTGAAGGAAAAGAACATTGGGGTGCTGGTCATAGGACAGGCCTGGCTGGAGGACTGAGCAGAATTATGGTGGATAGCAGATGTATGAGAAGCCTGTGTACAGCAGAGTAGAAAGAATCCTGGATAGATTTGGATAGGCAAAGACTGAAAGGGAGGGACCGAGAGACAGACTCAAGAGGTTTGAATGGAAGATGTCTCTCAAGTGTGTCCAAGTGCAGGTCTAGGCAAGGCATGGGTCAAGGGCATGGCGTGAGCGGATCTAGGGGTTTACCAAGTGCTTCAAGTGACTTACAGATGGCTGGAGAGATTTAGGGTGGTACTAAATTGGCACCAGGGGGTCAGGGTGTGGCTGGGCCTATGAGATGGCGCCTACCAGCTTCAGTCTGCCTGTTTGTAGCAGAAAGGGGGCAGGGAAGGGTACAGCAAAGACAGAAGTTCCTCTTCCTAATGGGCTTTCAGGAGAAAGAGCAGGGGCTGTGACTGACTCAGAAGGCTTGGAAACCGCGAAGGTATGAAAGACAGCAGAAACAAGTCTCACCTGGAGGGGGAGTCAGGAGAGTACAACAAAAGCTGGTGGTAGAGGGGGCAGAGAAAAATGTATAGCTCCATAAGATAAAATAAGATAAAATAAAAAAGGAGGTTGGGAGTTCAGTGTGTTTTCAGGAAATGGGGAGAATGTTTGCAGACTGACAAGAGCAGCCAGACAGGAATGGAAGGACAGACAGTAGGGCACTGTCCCTCAGATCAGTAGTCTTAAGCAGCCCTGTGTTGTGGTCACTACCAAGTCATGCTTCTGGGAATGCCAAGATGGACATCCGGTTTTCACAACAAGGTATTTAGATAGAACTGGACCCTGAGTACCAGGTTGGATATGAAGAGACAACCTCTGAGGAGCACAAACATGGCCTCCAGGAGGCTGTTTATTTGGAAGGGAAAATTCTGTATAAGTCTGGGAGCTGGTTCAGCTGGGGGTTCAGTGTAGTCTACTCATCTTGTGTCCTCTCATCTTCTCATTTCTCAGTGATGTGGACCATGATGATGATGAGGACCAGGGTGCCCGGGGCCATGGTGATGGTGAGGACCAGGATGCCCAGGGCCGTGGTGATGGTGAGGATCAGGGTGTCCAGGGCCATGACCATGGGGTGGGCAAGCAGGTCCTGGAGGGTGGGGTCCCACAGGACAGTGTCCTGGGCCAGGGGGTGGTGGACCAGGGGGTGGTGGACCATGAGGAGGGCAAGGACCCTGTGGAAAACCAAAAGGGAAGTGTCAGAATTCAAAGCCAATGCTAATGGCTGCGGTCAACTCTTCTTTACCTCCCCTCCCCAAGGGGCTCAGGATTCCTAGGCATCTGGAAGGGGTTATGATGGGGAGTTGGATAGCAAAGGATTTTCTCCTGGCCCTGCCCCTTTTTCATTGAAGTCTCTTAAGAACTGGGCAAGCAAAAGGGAAGAGTCTTGTTGTTTTAGATTTATTCCCTTTGCAAAGTTTTGACCTCTTTCCCTAGACCTCGAGTTATTTATTTGTAAGAAGCAAAATTATCTCATGACCCCTTCCCTGGCCCAGGGGTCCTAGCAGAAAGGCTACAGGTTCTGCCTTGCTACAAGTGGTGGCTTGCTGTATTTACAGCAAAGGTGAAGCTGGGGAGGTGGAGAATTCCCCGGACACCAGGTAGGGGAAACCCAGGCTCTGAGGAGAGATGTGGCAGGTCAAAGGTAAGAGGAGGAAATAAAGGATGTGTTTGTGTGTAGATAGGAAGTGTATTCAGTTTATATATATGTAGCACGTGGTGGCACATGGCTTTAATCCTCTGAGGTGGCAGAGGGTGATCTCTGTAAGTTTGAGACTAGCCTGCTCTATATAGTGAGGTTCAGCCCAGCCAGGGTCTGTATGCATATACAGAATGAGGCCATGTCTTTAATATATTTTTTATTTTTGGCCAGAAGTGGTGGCACACACCTTTAATTCCGCACTCACGAGACAGAGACTGGTGGATCTCTGTGAGTTCAAGGCCAGCCTGGTCTACATAGGGAGCTCCAGGACAGTCAAAGCTATGTGGTGAGACCCTTTCTCAAACAATGAAAATAAATAAATGAATGAATACAATTTTGAAGGTGTGTCTTGGTATGGAGTTCAATGGTAGATAATTTGTCCAGAAAGTACAAACCCAACATTTCAAAAAAAAAGCAAAATAAAACAAAAACACAACGAAATGGCTATATGTGGGTGTATTCCCGTGGTGGGCACATAGCATGCACACATGTACACACAGATGCATGCACAGGCTGCCTATATAACGCCTCTGCACAACTGCCAGACTCAAACGGGAAGAAGTAAAATTAAAGTTAATGGCCACTTCTCAGACCCAAAGAGGCCCGGGAAAGTGTTGTATAACCTTTCTTAGCTGGAGACTAGCCAGGATGGTTAGTGCTAGGGACTGGGGTGTGAAGTCCAGTGGGGTAGAGGTGGGGTTACACCCTCTATTCTGGGAGTAGAATTATACCCTCCTCTACTTTGACCTCCCCCGCCCGACTCAGGGGTTTGAGTGAGGTGGAATACAGGTGGGGAGAGACAGTCTCCAGAAGTGAAGGCTTTCCAGTTACAGCAGTCCCTGCCTCAGCTGTGCTAGGAAACAGCCTCATCCTCCCCCACCCCCTCTGTGGCAGGGAGCCTGGTGGCTGCTGCCTGTTGGGAGGGAGAGGTGGTGAGCAGGTAGCCTTCTCTTCTTTCTCAGCAGAAGCCTACCTGTCCTAGGAGCCCTGCAGTGGGACTGGGGCTTGGGAGCCAGGCAGCCAGGGGAGCACAGAACAGGCTGGGGAGCAGCAGGAAGAGAGAGTGAGCTGCTGGGCCAGGGGAGGGAAGTAAGGAATGGAGAGAGACAGATGGGAAAACAGAGAGAATGCCAAGGAGAAGGTTGCATTTGGCAGGGGGTGGGTGGCTATGGCAGTACCCCGCCCTTCCCAGGCTGATGCCTGAGTCTTCCTGACTTCATCTGGCAGAAGTACTGGTCTAAAAAAATGAGGTGGACCTGAAGGAAGGGGTCAAGGTGGGGGTGTTAGTGTGGGCAAGGGGAAGAAGGGTAGTGAATGTTCTTACCTGGTGACCTGTTGGAGAGAAAGGGGGGAAAGAAACAGCAGGGTCAGTCTTTTGCTTCTGAAGGGGACCCCTTGCCTTCTCCCTGATGCTAGCTCTGTGTCCACACCCCACGTTCAACTAGGCTCCTCACACCTGGCCACTTGCCCGACAATCACTCCATCCTTCATCCATCCACTAACAGCAGATTTGTATTGGAAGTCAATATGAAGCTCACTTGTGTGTCCCTATGGGCTCAAGGCTGGCTGAGTCCCCCAGGTGGCATCAGGCCACGTAGGAGGTGAGGCTTTTGTCCACACTGCCAGGGGTCTGCTATCCTAACCTTGGTCAGATTTCAGGGTATCAGGGAGGCATTCTATTGTTGCAAACCCCAATTCTTCCTCCTCTGTCTCCATCTGGGCCCCAGGCAGTCTCCCCCACTCATGCCTGTCCATCCCACTATAGCCCCTCAGAGCTGTGATATGGCTGACTGCTTGCCTCTGCCCTCCCCACTCTCCTTCCTCTTCTTTTCCCTCTTCTACCTCCTAGCCTCCATGATGCTTACCTGGATACATCTTTATGGGGCAAGAGCAGGAAGTGACACACGCAACACCTGTGGTTAACAGAGAACGCTTTTGTTGGCCGTGATCTGGTTGCTTGGCTTCTCCCCTCCTAGGTCTGCACACACACACACAGTCCCTTCACAAGACAAAACAGGATATCTACCAGGTGCCCTGGTCATGATACCTCTCCCTATGTAGGTCTCTGTATAAACACCTGGCATAGAGGTGGGATGCCAGATAGAGGTGATCATATGCAGTACCCACAGGGGACAGAGGTGGATGCCAGATATCCAAAAACCCAAGTTACATGTGGCTGGGAGACTCCTACTTTTTGGGTGCTGGGAATTGAACCCAGGTCCTCCAAAAGAGCAGCCAGTGCTCTTCACTGCTGAGCCATCTCTCCAGTCCAGGTTGCCCCTACTCTTCACCCTTGACTAATGTTAAGCTTGAAGGATCTCATAAGGCTGAACATGGGTAGGTAAAGGAAACCTTTGATTCAATCCAAACCTGAACTAAAGGCAGTGAAAAGACAGTCCCTGGGATGTTTCCACTCAGGCCTAGCTCTCTGCAAAACAGGAATGGTCAGCTCTAGAAGGGACTGAAAATGCAAGCCAGGTGACCCTTCTGCCTGGCAGTCAGTCCTAACTCCTGCAGGGTGAAGGCACAGGGGCCAGCCTGGAGGGTGGGGAGGGCAGAAACGCAGACATGCATACAAATACACAAGTACCTGACACAGACACACACAATCCTTTAGAAATGGACTGACTTGTGCCAAAGTACGATGTCCTCACAAAGACCCTGAGGCAGCAGTCCAATACACAAATACATACCCAGAGAGACTAAGACCACACGGGTACCTCATTCACTCTCACAGACACCCTCTTATTTTATTTACCTTTAGTAAAATAAGTCAGGTCCTTACCTGAGAGTGCAGAGCCAGAGACAGCAAGGCTAAGGCTCTGTCTCCCCAGGGGAGTATTTGTACAAGAGAGGGTGGGGCTGTGTTGGGTCACAAGCTCTGGGAGAGTCTAGAATAGAGGGCCAGGGAGTGAAGAGGGATGGGCTGATCTCTACTGGTGCAAAGAGCACTAGGAAATAGGATGGGGGTGTGGTGGGTGGGGAGGGGTTGGGGTGGAGTAGGTTAGGGGATTGGGGGTCATTCTCAGAACAATTTCTAGGTTGTGGACAGGGTCATTAACTCCTCCCAGCACGCAGAAGAAGAAAAGTGACCCTAAGTACATTCCTGCCTCCAAGGCACAGATGAGTTTTTGAATTGCTACCTCATCCATCAAGCTTGTCTGGAAACAGAATTCACACCCAGAAAAGGGGACAGTGGGAATAAAGTCAGGACAGAATGGAAAGTATGAAAAAGTTCGGAACCCAGGATGCCAGCTGGCTCTGCTTGTCCCAAGCCCTTTGTAGGCTGCCCGTGTGGCCTCCCCAGCACCTGTATTTGCCCAGATGATTTGCTTTGTGTGCTCCCTCAAGCATATCAGGAGCCCCTACCTTCCGGGATCCTTTCTTCTAATTTTTCTTATTTCACTGACCTCAGTCACTTGGCCATTGACAACCCCTTGGCATTAGTAAGTGTCTTGTAAATTTGGTAAATGAAAATTTTGTATTATTTTTTTTTAAGAGTTTTTGTGGTTGGGCAGTGGTTGTGCATGCCTTTAATCCCAGCACTTGGGAGATAGGCAGATCTCTGTGAGTTCATGGCCAGCCTGGTCTACAGAGCGAGTTCTAGGACAGACAGGACATACAGAAAAACCTGCTGGAAGCAAAGACCTGTATTTGGTTATAGCCATCTCGGTCATAAATTAAGTTAGCTCTTCAGAAACCCTTGTAGGGCAAATTCAGGGCCTAGGATAACCCTTATCCCCCTGTGAGTTAAGATCCCCTGCAGACATGGGGGTCCCAGGCCCCAGAAGTAATTAGCATCCCCTTGTTAGTAACTATTGACAGACCCTCAGCATTTCCTTATCTCTTCCCATCCATCAGCTTGGGAAGTCTCTAGACCTGACATTCCAGCAATCTCCCATCCCCTCCCCCTGCCTTCTGCTATATAATATTCCTGAGAAAAAAATAAAGTTGGCAGCTTGATCAGAATGCAGACTTGCTGTCTGTTTCTCATGTCTCTTGTCTCTTCATTCCTTGTCGACAGGGTTCAGAATCTCCATTCATGTGTCACTGGTCGGGACAAATGGCGCCCAAACAGGGACCTGACAACACTGTGTGGGTTTGAAGAATGTTGCTGCAGACAGGGGACAGGCCTATCCAGCCATTGAGCCACTGCAGTCAGCAGCTCAGCACCTGCTCAGTGAAGAATCGCCATGGACCACCCACCATCAGATCCGGAGGTTTCTGCACAGTGATGCAAGGTAAAAATCATACCATGGGACAAGCATTCGGTAAATAGAATTTGTTTTTCCACAGACTCAAGGAGTCCCTCAAGACAGGAGGAGTAAGGGTAAAATCCAGGCTGCTATGCCTTCCAGAGCTGGCAGATGACAGGCAGGCAGACAGGCAGACAGCTCCTGTGTCGTACCCCCTGCCGGGTGGCGCAGCTTCAACCAGAAGCTGAAAGGCAGGTTTGAATTGAGGTATCCCTGAGACATGACAATCAAAAATAAATAAGTAGGTTAAATACGTTTCTTGTTCATTTCACAATTTAGCTCCTTTGTCAACAATCTGCTGTTTGTAGGTTTGTGAATTTGTATCCAAGGTGGATTGATTTCAGTACTGTGGCTCTGCAGTAAAGTTTTTAAAGTCAGAGATTGTGATGCATTTAGAATTGCCATGATTGTGTAGGATTTTAAGAGTGTTTAGGCTATCCTGAGTTTTTATCTTTTCTTATAAAGTTGAGGATTGTTGTTTCAAGGTCTGTAAAAAAATTTTGTTATGGGCTGGAGAGATGGCTCAGTGGTTAAGAGCATTGCCTATTCTTTTTTTTTTTTTTTTTGGTTTTTCGAGACAGGGTTTCTCTGTGGTTTTGGAGCCTGTCCTGGAAATAGCTCTTGTAGACCAGGCTGGTCTCGAACTCACAGAGATCCGCCTGCCTCTGCCTCCCGAGTGCTGGGATTAAAGGCGTGCGCCACCACTGCCCGGCCTTGCCTATTCTTCCAAAGGTCCTGAGTTCAATTCCTAGCAACCACATGGTAGCTCTCAGCCATCTGTAATGGGTCTGGTGCCCTCTTCTGGCCAGCAGACAAACACACAGACAGAATATTGTATACATAATAAATAAATAAATAAATTTTGTTATAATTTTAATGGACATTTGCATTGAATCTGTAGATTAATTTCAGTAAGATTGTCAGATTTGCTATCTTGGTTCTACTTTTCCAAGAGAATAGATCTTTCTTTTTTCTAATGTCTTAAGTTTTCTTTTCTTTTTTTTTTCTTTTTTCTTCTTTCTTTCTTTCTTTTTTCCTTTCTTTCTTTTCTTTTTTTTTTTTTTTTGGAGCCTGTCCTGAAACTAACTATTTTAGACCAGGGTAGCCTTGAACTCACAGAGATCTGCCTGTCTTTGCCTGCTGAGAGATGGGATTAAAGGTGTGTGCCACCACCGCCAGTTTAAGTTTCTTTCTTAAAAGATTCAAAGTTCTTATCATCCAAGTTTTTCCATTTGTGTGGTTAGAGTTACTCCAAAATATTTTGTTGTATTTATGGCTATTGTAAAGGATGATGTCTCTCATTTATCATATGTGCAGAAGAGGTGCATTTTGGGTTCTGGCTATGATAAAGTAATTCTGCTGTAAACAGAGTTGAGCACGTGTCCTTATGGTGTGGTTGGGCATCTTCTGTATATAGGCACAAAAGGAGTGTTGCTGAGTCTTAAGGTAGAGGGTTGCCTAGTTTTGAGAAATTGCCGTACTACGTTCCAAAGCAGCTGTGCCAGTTTGCACTTCCACCAGCAGTGGAGGAGTTTTTCCTTCCCCCACAGTCTCTTCAGCACAAACTGTCACAGGTGTCTTTGATCTTGGCCATTCTTTTTTTTTTTTTTGGTTTTTCGAGACAGGGTTTCTCTGTGGTTTTAGAGCCTGTCCTGGAACTAGCTCTTGTAGACCAGGCTGGTCTCGAACTCACAGAGATCCGCCTGCCTCTGCCTCCCGAGTGCTGGGATTAAAGGCGTGCGCCACCACGGCCCGGCAATCTTGGCCATTCTTACAGGGAAAAGATGGAATCTCAGAGTTGCATTTCTCTAATGACTAAGGATGTTATTATGTGTCAGCATTAAGTTCATCTGTCGAGAGTTTTAAGTTTAGGTCTGTAACATATATTTTTATTGGATTATTCTTTTGATAACTAATTTCCTGAGTTCTTCGTATGTTTTTGGAGTGGATTAAGTGGTTAGTAAAGGTATTTTCTCATTCTTTAGACTGATAATATGTCTTGTTACTATGTCCTTTGCTATACAGAAGCTTCTCAGTTCGGATCTGATTTATTAATTGTTTCTCTCAAGGTCTGTGCCACTGAGGCTGTGTTTGAGATGTGCCAAAGTGTACTCTTAACTTTTTCTTCTGTGATCTTCAGTGTGGTTGGTTTTATGTTCAGATCTTTGATTCATTCAAACTTGAATTTTGTTCATAGAGATAAATATGGATCTGTTTTCATTCTTCCACATGTTGATGTCTTGTTAGACCAGCGTCATTAGTTAAATATGCGTTCTTTTTCCATTTTCCTATCGGCTAGGCAGACTTACAACTTTACAGGAAGATAGTTCACAAACTTTTAATTATTTATACAATGGTTAAAGCCTTAGTTACAATATTCTTATGGGAGATATTGAGCCACTAAGTAAAATTCTTAAAGGAAGCAATGAGCCAATTTCCAATAGAGAGCTTATAGAAGCTGCCAGACAGGTACTCAAGCAGGTAAAATATAGATCAACAGGTAAATTATGCAATAATGTACAAGTACAGTATATTAATTATGATTCAGCTATGACAAGTGTGTATTAAGTACAAAACTTATTCTACAGCGGTTTTATGAAAAGAATAGAATGCTTTTTAGAGCTGCATCTTCCCAGTTTTTGCCAGTTAAGATATTAAAGTTTTAATTAGATCAGTAGCTTGTCTAATAGAGAAGAGCAAGATAAAATCTCAGAGATAGCTTAATAGAATATTGGCTATGATCAAAGTTTCTTATACTAAATAGATTAATTGATAATTTTAGGATAATGATTCTTGGACAACTGTGTTTGCTCAATTTAAAGGCCAGAGTAATAATATTTTCCGAGATGATAGTTGTTACAATTTGCAAAACTATATTTTGCTAATGTTATAGCTAAAGATCCCTTAAAGGAGTCATGAGTACACAGAGAGGCTTGATCGCCTAAACCTGGTAAGGAACTGCCTTCTTGATAGTCTTGAGGTGCTCGAGGAAAGGCAAAATGTCCAGCTGTTAGCGGGCTGGTTGGGTCGACAGCCTGGAGGGTGGAGACTGTGGGCACCGAGACTGCCGCATCTGCTGGGTCTTCAAGGGGACAGGTGTGGAGGGAGCAGCTTCTCTCAGGGCTTGCCTCAGGAGTCATGCCTTTGGTCTGGAACCTGGGAGAGGGCAGGCAGGGGAGGAGGAGTGTTGTGGTTATCTGTGTCCCAGGGTTGTTCAGTAAGCAAGACAAGGAGACAAGAGCTCAGGGCTGATTTTTCCATTAGTTCTGAGGGCAGAGGAGGAGGGTGGAAGCTCAAGGCCTGCATGCTGGGGCCTGAGCTTTCATCCAAACATCTGTGCCTTCAAAAATTATCGCTGGCAACCTGCCATGTGTCAAACCCTGCTTGCTGTCACACCTGTTACTGCATACATGATCTTATTCGCTGTCTACAAAAAGAAGAAAATTCTCGTTTTACAGATTTGAAAGCAGATGCAGTGAGAAGTAAAGATTAGAACCATGAGCCACGTTCAAGATCTTCTGACCTTCCTGTATGGTTGTCTCTTTATCCCCACACCATCTCTCTCCAGGGTCTTAACGTATATACCTGGCTGTCCTGGTACTCATTATATAGACCAGGTTGTCCTTGAACTCACAGAGATCTGCCTGCCTCTGCCCAGGGTTGGGATTAAAGGGCTGCTCCACTGTGTCCAGCACATGTCTTTGAGCACCTGCATCCGTCATTATTCCCCCTAAACCAGTCACTTGCCCCTCTGTGTTCCATTGGCCTCCTGGGTATTTCTTCACGTATTTGATGCAGCTGACTATCAGATCATAGACTTGTCCCCCTCTCAGCTGGGTGGTGGAGGCTGGGAATGCAGAAGCTGATGGTTAGAAAGGTTCATCCCCATAGCTTCAGTGCCTTGATCAGCTCACTGGCTCAGAAGGTGGCCAGGGAATGTTCATTAGGTGAACACAGTGCCAGATTGACTGTGAGGTGTGGCGTGGTGATGAATAAGACTCCGTTCCTGCCCCTGGGAATTTGCAGTAGTTGGGAGATGCAGACAGACCAACTGTTGGTTTGTATGAGAGAGAAATCTGGATGGCTCAATCTTAATGGGGATGAAGGAAGGTAGAAAGTTCAGCAAACAGGAGTGCTGCCCTTCTGACAGCCCCGGCCCGGGGCCCTGTACAGCATGGCTTTACTTAGTCAAGGTGTGCACAGTTCAGACAGGGAGCTGGAATATGGCAGGAAGAAGTCAGCGATGACCCCAAATTAGTCATAAGACGACACTGTGTAGTTGTCTTTCCAGTCTTCTGCTCCAAGAGGAGGTAGAGTCTCACTTCTGCAGCAGGATTGCCAGTCTTAGGGAAAAGGAAAGATGGCTACAGGGCAGACTGCCTGGAGACCATGGGGTTTGCAGCAGGGTTGAGGCCTGAATGATAAAGCTAAGTCTTCTTTCTTTTGGTTTGCGTTGTAGTGATAGGTAATGCGCAGACTTTGTGTCTGGCTTTGAGAGAAATGTTTCAGCAAAGCCTTTGCTATGTTTGGGTTAATCAGTAAAGGCTGAAAATTGTTTTGAGACTGTTGAAACCTTGAAGAAATGTCTCTCTGGAGACTCTGCACTTGGTGCTACATGAGAGTGCTTGCATCTACACCGACCTTGGTCCTATGACACTCCTGGCTCACCTGGAGTCTGTACTTTTGGTTATGGCTAGCCATAATCAGAAGGGACTGAGATCTGTGTGTGCTGTCTGCTCTCATGGCCAGCAGGAGCAAATGACTTTGGGAGTTGGAACCTTTGCCAGCCCCTATTAGCCTTGTGTATGTTTGAATAAAGTAACTGGAGTCAGCTAGCTGGCTGTCATCCTTCTCCAAGAAGGCTGAACCCCACTGTTCCTTCAGAAAATGAAGGCATAGCATCTTGGTGAGCTTCTCTCTCTGCTGCAGCCCCTACGACTGACATCAAACAATAGCTAAGCAAAAATAGCAACAAAAAGATGTCGGGGAAGGGGTCAGAGAAAAATGGATAGCTCAATAAAATAATAAGTAGGTCAGGAGATCAGTGTGTTTTCAGGAAATGGTGAGAATGTATGCATACTGACAGGAGCAGCCGGACAGGAGTGGATGGACAGAGAGTAGGGCGCTGTCCCTGGGATCAGTAGTATTAATCAGCCCTGTGTTGTGGTCACCAGCAGTCATGCTTCTGGGAATGTCAAGATGGACATCTGTTTTTACAAATTAGATAGAACTGGACCCTGAGTACCAGGTTGGATATGAAGAAAGACAACCTCAGATGAGAACAAAATGGCATACAGAAGTCTATTTATTTGGAAAGGAAAATTCTGGGTAAGTCTGGGAGCTGGGTCAGCTGGGGGTTCTGTGTAGCTTCCTCATCTTGTGTCCTCTTGTCTTCTCATTTCTCAGTGATGAGGACCAGTGTGTCCGGGGCTATGGGGATGGTGAGGACCAGGGTGCCCGGGGCCATGGCCACGGGCTGGGCAAGCAGGTCCTGGAGGGGGAGGTCCCCCAGGACCATGGCCAGGGGCTGGGCAAGCAGGTCCTGGATGTGGGGGTCCCCCAGGACCAGGGGGTGGTGGACCATGAGGAGGGGACGGACCCTGTGGAAAACCAAAAGGGAAATGTCAGAATTCAAAGCCACCGCCAATGGCTGTGGTCAACTCCTCTTTACCTCCCCTCCCCAAGGGCCTCAGGATTCCTAGGCATCTGGAAGGGGTTGTGGTGGGGAGTTGGATAGCAAAGGATTTGCTCCTGGCCCTGCCCCTTTTGCAAAGAAGTCTCTTAAGTACTGGGCTAGCAAAAGGGAAGAGTCTTGTTGTTTTAGATTTATTCCCTTTGCAAAGTTTTGACCTCTTTCCCTGGACCTCGAGTTATTTTGTAGTAATTAGGAGCCAAGGGGCTGCATCCCCAGCACCCCGGCCGCCTGCTAGCTTATGCCCCGAAATAATTACACAGAAACTGTATTCTTTTAAACACCGCTTGGCCCATTATATCTAGCCTTTTCTCGGCTAACTCTCGCACCTGGACTAGCCCATTTCTAATAATCTGTTTAGCCCACGAGCTGGCTTACCAGGAATGATCTTAACCTGCGTCTGCCTGGAGTGGGAGAATTATGGCGACTCTGTCTGAGGCGTCTTATCTCACTTCCTCTTCCTCCCAGCATTCTGTTCTGTTTACTCCACCCACCTATGTTCTAAGCTATGAGCCCAAGCAGTTTGTTTATTACTTAACCAATGAAATCAACAGATTGATATATGACACTCCCACATCATTATTTGTTTGCAAGAAGCAAAATTATCTCATGACCCCTACCCTGGCCCAGGGGTCCTAGCAGAAAGGCTACAGGTTCTGCCTTGCTACAAGTGGTAGCTTGCTGTATTTACAGCAAAGGTGAAGCTGGGGAGGCTGGAGAAGAATTCCCCGGACACCAGGTAGGGGAAACCCAGGCTCTGAGGAGAGATGTGGTGGGTCAAAGGTAAGAGGTGGAAATCAAGGATGTGTTTGTGTGTAGATAGGAAGTGTATTCAAATACAATATATATATATATATTTATATATGTGGCATGTGGTGACACACGGCTTTAATCCTCTGAGGTGGCAGAGGGTGATCTCTGTAAGTTTGAGACTAGCCTGATCTATTTACAGGGAGGTTCAGCCCAGCCAGGGCCTGTATGTATATACAGAATGTTACCCTGTCTTTAATTTATTTTTTATTTTGTCCAAAAGTAGTGGCACACAGCTTTAATTCTGGCCCTCAAGAGATAGAGACTGGTGGATCTCTGTGAGTTCAAGGCCAGCCTGGTCTACATAAGGAGCTCCAGGCCATTCTCTGTGGTGAGACCCTTTCTCAAACAATGAAAATTAAAAAATGAATGAATACTATTCTGAAAGTGTGTCTGGGTATGGAGTTTAATGTTAGAGAATTTGTCCAGAAAGTACAAACACAACACTGTGTAAAACAAAATAAAACAAAAAAAAAGCACAACAAAATAGCTATGTCTGGGTATATTCCCGTGGTGGGCACATAGCATGCACACATGTACACACAGATGCATGCACCGGCTGCCTATATAATGCCTCTGCACACCTGCCAGACTCGAACAGGAAGAAGTGAAAGTAAGGTTAATGTCCACTTCTCAGACCAAAGAGGCCCGGGAAAGTTTTGTTAAACCTTTCTTAGCTGGAGTCCAGCCAGGAGAGTTAGTGCTAGGGCACTGAGGTATGGAGTCCAGTGGGGTACAGATGGAGTTACACCCCCTATTCTGGAAGTAGGGTGACTCCCTATTCTGCTTTAACCTGCCCCCCCCCCCCGCCACCTCACGGGTTTAGTGAAGTGGAATACAGATGGGAAGAGACAGTCTCCAGAAGTGAAGGCTTTCCAGTTACAGCAGTCCCTTCCTCAGCTGTGCTAGGAAACAGCAGCATCCCCCATCCCCACTCTGTGGAAGGTTATAGATACAGCCAGGAAGCTTGGTGACTGCTGCCTGTTGGGAGGGAGAGGTGGTGAGCAGGTAGCCTTCCCTTCTTTCCCTAGCAGAAGCCTGCCTCTCCTAGGAGCCCTGCAGTGGGACTGGGGCTTGGGAGCCAGGCAGCCAGCCAGGGGACCACAGAGCAGGCTGGGAAGCAGCAAGAAGAGAGAGTGAGCTGCTGGGCCAGGGGAGGGAAGTAAGGAATGGAGAGAGACAGATGGGAAAACAGAGAGAATGCCAAAGAGAAGGTTGCAGTTGGCAGGGGGTGGGTGGCTAGGCAGTATCCCGCCCTTCCCAGGCTGATGCTTGAGTCTTCCTGACATTATCTGGCAGAAGTGCTGGTTTAAGAATGAGGTGGGCCTGAAGGAAGTGGCCAGGATGGTGGTGTTGGGTTGGGCAAGGGGAAGAAGGTTAGCGAATGTTCTTACCTTGTGACCTGTTGGAGAGAAATGGGGAAAGAAACAGCAGGGTCAGTCTTTTGCTTCTGAAGGGGACTCCTTGCCTTCTCCCTGATGCTAGCTCTGTGTCCACATCCCACATTCAACAAGGCTCCTCAGACCTGGCCATTCACCTGACAAACATTCCTTCATTCATCCATCCACTAACAGCAGATTTGTATTGGAAGTCAATATGAAGCTCACTTGTGTGTCCCTATGGGCTCAAGGCTGGCTGAGTCCCCCAGGTGGCATCAGGCCAGGCAGGAGGTGAGGCTTTTTTCCACACTGCCAGGGGTCTGCTATCCTAGCCTTGGTCAGATTTCAGGGCATCATGGAGGCATTCTATTGTTGCAAACCCCAATTCTTCTGGGCCCCAGGCAGTCTCCCCCACTCATGCCTGTCCATCCCACTATAGCCCCTCAGAGCTGTGTGGTGGCTGCTGTTACATCCTGGTCACAACCTTCTGCTCTCAGCTCAGGGCCTTTGCTCACACTGTCTGCTGCCTGGAAATCTCTCTAGCATGGCTCTACCTCACTATCCAGCAGGTGTTCCACATCACTGGGGTGTGGAGATCCCCAGAGTGGACACAACAGTTCATTCTGCAGAAGCCACCTATGTGGTACTGGGTGTCCCAAAAGGTAACCTTTGGTGGGAATTCTAGGTCTTTCGCTTCTTTTTTTTTAAGCTTCTTTTTTTTAAAAAAATATTTATTTATTCATTGTGTATACAATATTCTATATGTGTGTGTGCCTGTAAGCCAGAAGAGGGCATCAGATCGCATTACAGATGGTTGTGAGCCACCATATAGTTGCTGGGAATTGAACTCAGGACCTTTGGAAGAACAGGCAAAGCTCTTAATCTCTAAGCCACCTATCCAGCCCCCGTTCTTTTGCTTCTTTTGAGAGAATCCAGTGGCATAGCTGCTGGGCTCTGGGCTCCAGATCTGGCAGTGCTTTTCATGAGCTCACTTTGAGCATCATGCCTGACATCCCTGGCCTCATGTGTACCCTGGGAGATGAACCCACCTTTTTGTCTCCTCAAGTTGAAGAGCTAGTGAGATGAAAAACGTGCACACTTGTTTCTTCAACTATAATGTGTGCTTCGCAATATGAAAGTTTGTTTGCATTTGGCACCCTGCACACACACCTTTACACACATGCAAGCACACCTGGCTTTCAGTAGATATGGCTGACTGCTTGCCTCGGCCCTCCCCACTCTCCTTCCTCTTCTTTCCCCTCTTCTACCTCCTAGCCTCCATGATGCTTACCTGGATCCATCTTTATGGGGCAAGTGCAGGAAGTGACACACGCAACACCTGTGGTTAACAAGAACGTTTTAGTTGGCAGTAATCTGGTTGCTTTGCTTCTCCCTCCTAGGACTGCACACACATAGTCCCTTCACAAGACAAAAGGGGTGCCTGCCAGGCGTCCTGGTGATGATACCCTGCCCTCTGTAGGTCTCTGTATAAACACCTGCATAGAGGTGGGATGCAGAGACTTGGAGAGGTTGCTATAGCCGAGTGGGGAGGTGCAGACAACCTGATGAGTATTGGGCTTCTGGGGACCCAGGAGACCTTAAGGACTTTGTTCTTGCCACAGAGAGGAATGGAACCTTCCAGGGTTCCCACTGCTTGTTATTGTCTCCTTTTGTAAGGATTGGGAGAGTGTGGGAGGTTTAGGGTCTGAATCAATTTGTCATCCACTGCCAGTCTCTTGTCATGGGAAACTGTTGCGATCTAGCCTCATCTTTTGGGGCCTGGCATGCAAATAACAATTAACAAGCCCAAAATGGTCCAGCACCCACAACACAATACACTTGAAGATGAAAGCTATCGCGGCTCTCTGAACTCATATGGCAAATGAGTGTTTTAGTACAGATGTCCACACTTACAGACACACACACACACACACACACACACACACACACACTCACCTCCAATACAAAAGACCTAGAGCTGAAGATCAAATGTAGAGCCTCGTACTTGGAAAGCAGGCTCTCTACCATTGAGCCTCTCCCCAGCCCCACCAAACCACTCATTCTTATTGATTTGTTATTTCCGGTTGAAATCAGTCCCACTTTATGACCATAGTCTTTCTCACTTGCTGATCCTTTTTTAATTTTATGGGTATGGGTGTTATGTCTGGACTTAAGTCTGAGCACCATGTTCATATGCAGTGCCCACAGAGGACAGGGGAGGATACCAGATATCCAAAAACCGGAGTTACATGTGGCTGGAAGACTCCTACTTTGTGGGTGCTGGGAATTGAACACAGGTCCTCCGGAAGAGCAGCCAGTGCTCTTCACTGCTGAGCCATCTCTCCAGTCCAGGTTGCCCCTACTCTTTCACCCCTGACTAATGTTGAGCTTGAAGGATCTCATAAGGCTGAACTTGGGGAGGTAAAGGAAACCCTTGATTCAATCCAAACCTGAACTAAAGGCAGTGAAAAGACAGTCCCTGGGATGTTTCCACTCAGGCCTAGCTCTCTGAAAAACAGGAATGGTCAGCTCTAGAAGGGACTGAAAATGCAAGCCAGGTGACCCTTCTGCCTGGCAGTCAGTCCTAACTCCTGCAGGGTGAAGGCACAGGGGCCAGCCTGGAGGGTGGGGAGGGCAGAAACGCAGACATGCATACAAATACACAAGCACCTGACACACACACACACAATCCTTTAGAAATGGACTGACTTGTGCCAAAGTACGATGTCCTCACAAAGACCCTGAGGCAGCAGTCCAATACACAAATACATACCCAGAGAGACTAAGACCACACGGGTACCTCATTCACTCTCACAGACACCCTCTTATTTTATTTACCTTTAGTAAAATAAGTCAGGTCCTTACCTGAGAGTGCAGAGCCAGGGACAGCAAGGCTGAGGCTCTGTCTCCCCCAGGGGAGTATTTGTACAAAAGAGGGAGGGGCTGGGTCAGGTCACTAGCTCTGGGAGATTCTAGACTAGAAGGTCCAGGGAATGAAGAGGGATGGGATAATCTCTACCTGGGCAAAGTTCACTAGGAAGCAGGATGTGGGTGCGGTGGGGTGGGGCGGAGGTTTTGGGTGGAGTAGATGAGGAGAGTGGGGATCATTCTCAGAGCCATCTCAAGGTCACGTGGACAGGTCATTAACTTCTCCCAGCACGCAGAAGAAGAAAAGTGACCCTAAGTACATTCTTGCCTTGGATTCCAAGGCCCAGACAAGTTTTTGAATTGCTGCCCAGTCCAGCAAGCTTGTCTGGAAACAGCAATCACACCCAGAAAAGGGGACAGTGGGAATAAAGTCAGGACAGGACAGAAAGGATGAAAAAGTTCGGAACCCAGGCTGTCATCTCGCTCTGCCTGTACCAAGCCCTTTGTAGGCTGCCCGTGTGGCTGCCCCAGCACCTCTATTTGCCCAGATGATTTGCTTTGTGTGCTCCCTCAAGCAGATCAGGAGCCCCTACCTTCCGGGAGCCTTTCTTCTAATTTTTTTTATTTCCACGGACCTTTGCATGCCTCAGGTTCTGGGACACAGTGGCTTCCTCAGTCCCTTGGCCATTGATAACCCTCCTGGTATTAGTAATTTGGTAAAGAAAAAATTTTATTTTTAAAAGTTTATGTGGTTGGGCAGTGGCGGTGCATGCCTTTAATCTCACTACTCGGGAGGCAGGCAGATCTCTGTGAGTTCGAGGCCAGCCTGTTCTATAGAGCAAGTTCCAGGACAACCAGGGCTACACCGAGAACCCCTCCCTTGAAAAACAAAACAGAACAACTGAAGTTTATGTGTCTAGGTGTCTGGCCTGCAGGTATGACTGTGCAAGCAATCCATGCAGTGCTCATAAAGGTTAGCCAGAATCCCCTGGCTTCTGAAGAGTCAGAGCCCCTGGAACTGGAGTTACACACACTTGTGAGCTGTCAGACAGAAGCTGGGAATTGAACCCAGGTCCTCTGGAAGAGCAGCCTGTGCTCTTAACTGCGGAGGCATCTCTCTAGGCCCTTGGTGAACAAATTTTGATAAGTTTGCTGAAGTTAGTTGTTGTTGGGTAATAACTGGTTTCCTTTTTTTTTTTTGAGGTTTATATTGTATGAATTTTTCCCTTTCTTGTTTCTGTATTTTTAAAAATTATTTTCTGAATATGGCTGTGCTCTACCCTGAAATTACAATGCTCCTCAGCCAGGCTACAGAGCGAGAACCTATCAAAATAAAAACAAGGCTGGCAATGGTTTGGTTTGGGGAATAGCTAAAGACTGAGACAATCTTTAACTTTCCCCATCATGAGTTAATCAGCTAGTTGTGGTGCATACATCAAATAAAACGAAAGAATAGACAGTTGATGCAAACCATACTAGGGCAGCGTCTCAAAATAGTTATGTGGAGTGATAGGAGCCACGCACAAAGGATACATACCATATGTTTTTGAATAAAGAACCAGAAAACTGATGAGCACAGCCGACCAGTGGGCAGTGAAAAGGGGAGAGTGGAGGAGAGACACTGGGGAAGGGCAGGAAGAAGCAAGAGCTGCTGCTATGACTTTGTGAAGTAAACACAGATCAAAACAGCTTGCACAATTCAAATACGCATTGTTTATGGCATGTCAATTTGACTTCAATTAGAATTGTAAAATAAAGAGTCCCATAGCCATTTTCAGAAGACAAGATGAAAGTATTGAGGAACAGGGTGTGTCTTCCTCATCTCAATGGCGGGGAGGGAGGCTCCGGCTGACCCCAGGATCTTCTACGTTATCAGGGAGCTCAGATCGGCTCTAGGTGGTGGTGTTATTTTACACACACACACACACACACAGAGTATTTGCTTGCATGTATATATATAATACAAATACCACCTAGAGTTTATATATGTGTAATATATGCTTGTATATAAACTCTAGGTGGTATTGTTATATATGTATGTATATAAACTCTAGGTGGTATTGATATTTATATATTATGGATGCTTTGCCTGCATGTGTGTCTGTATGCCACTTGAATGAATGCCTTGTGCTCTTGGAGGCCAGAAGAGGTAGTTGAATCCCCTGCAACTGGAGTTACACATGGTTATCAGCTGTCATGCGGGTGCTGAGAATTGAACCCTGGCCCTTGAGAAGAGCAGCCAGTGCTTTTAATTGCTCCCCTCTAGAAGAGATTACCCTCACTGTTTGGCAGTATTGTATTTTGCTTTATGTGTATGAATGTTTTGCTTGCACGCATATAGGGATCTGACACACGCCTGTTGGATCCCTGGTGTCAGCCTGATTACTAATGGTTGAGTCACTATGTGGGGGCTGGGTGTGAAACCTGGGTCTTTGTCAAGTGCTCCTAATCGCTAAGCCATCTCTCCAGACTCCTCATCCTTAGTTCTTCCGAGGTGGAACTTTAGCTTTTTTGTTTGTTTTTTGAGACAGGGTTTCTCTGTAGCTTTGGAGCCTGTCCTTGTAGACTGGGCTGGCCTCGAACTCACAGAGATTTGCCTGCCTCTCCCTCCCGAGTGCTGGGAGTAAAGGCGTGCACCACCACCTCCCGACTGGAACTTCAGCTTTTGAGACAGGGTCTCAAGTATCCCAGCCTGGTGTGAAACTTATAACAGAGCAGAGGATAGACTTGATCCTTCTGCCTCCACCTTCGAAGTACTGGGATTGCAGGTGTATATCACCACACCCAACCTGTCTTTGGTGTGTGTCTGTGTGTGTGTGTGTGTGTGTGTGTGTGTGTGTGCTTGCACTGAGACTTAGTCTCTCACACTGAGACTGACCTTGAGTTTCCGACCCTCTGCCTCCAGCTCTGGAGTGTTGGAATTACAGGCTTGTACCACCACAGCGGGCTTTATCTTCCCTTCTTTGACAGATTCCGAAAGGACCTTGGTTCAGGGGTTAAGATGTTTGCCAGTGTGCAGTCGTCCTAATCAGGGACTGCCTGAGTCTAGAGCCTAGAGCCTGGGCATTTCTTAGGTTGAACCATCTTCCTTTTCAGGAAGGCACTTCTAAAAAAAAACAAAACAAAAAAAAAAAAAAAACTCCAGCAGCCTGCTTTGGAAACGTCTGTGCAGAGGACTTTGGTTTATGAGTAGGCGGGGAGCTATGACTCTGCTTTGTGTACAGTCGTTGCCATTCTGAGGAGAGAGAGCCAGGGCAGAGGCAGCAGACAGGCAGAACCCCAGAAGAGGTTTGCAAAGGTGTGGTGCCTGCGAACTCCCACGTTCTAGTCCACGCTGAGCAGATGGTACTTCCTATGCCCGCCATCCCCTGTGTTTACTAGCCCCCCTCTTTCAGGAATCTTCCTGTTCTCTTTAAGGGACACTGCTACTACGTCTTCTTCGCTGCCAGCCTTGGGCAGGAGGCTGAAAAGAGAGCTCCGTGTCCTCATAAACCTCCTCAGGAAGGAGGGGGAGCAGCGCTCTGGGCTCCAGGTTTGGGGCCTCCGCTCCTGCTTTCTCTGGAGTCAAGCTCTAAGCCCCTGGCCCAGAGTAGGGCAGGACAAAGTAGAGATGCTGAGGCTTTCAGAGAGGAGCTAGACTTTGTCTTGATGGGATGGATGGAGACAGTAAGGCATTGTGGGTAGACTGGGGCCGGAGACCTTCAGGAGACGGGAAGCTGCCAGAGTGGTGGTGGGCACGTTGACGCATCCACCGCAGAGTGAGCTTTGCTTCTTGCTCTCCACAGTCCTAAGGGTTTGGAGGCCACAGAGCCCGAGTCTCATGTGTATCCCCTCTACCCTTCAGCCCTGTACCTCACAGAGAGTAAATGGTTCCAAAGTGCTTGGCTTAAGGCTTGGTTGACAGAGGGCAACTTCCTGCCCTGGTGGAGGGTGAGGAGGGCATGTCTGTGGTGAGAAGCTGGAAGCAGGATCAGGAAAGAGAGATGCTAGGGAGTCTCCTGGGGCAATGCAGGGCGGGCAGCACATGGGGTCTTTGGGCTGATAGGGACATACAATAGTCTCCCAAAGCAGGACACTAACCCTCTCTATGACCTTCCAGTATTTGTCTGGAGGGGTAGCCAGGCCTCTCTGCTCCCTGGCCTGCCCAGCAGGCTGATGCCTTGGTTTGGCGGCCGTGTTGACAAAAGTGGCTCACCCTGGGCATGGGCTGGAGAAAGAGCTGACAGGCAGTTAGCTTCGATGATTCAGGAAGTGCCACAGAGACGTTCATTCAGGTCACTGACCTTGATCTCCACAGAGATGTCAATAGCACCAGCTCAGGCTCGTCCACAGATTCCAAAACTTGAGGAGATCGAATGATGTCACAGGTGTGGGGCTCAGCAGGCATAAGCCGTGGTGCAATGAGTTTCTGCAGTGAACGCGATCATCCCTGGCCTGTTGGACTCTCTAACCCAGCACGCCTCCCCTCGCTTCACACTGGGCATCTCCTGCTGGACACACTATCATCTCCGGCTCTTGCATCCTCCAGAATGTTGCATGGTTGCTCCTGAGGGACACCTGGCTGTCCCCATCTCCTTTGTTAGGGCATTCAGGAGAATGAATTTTTTTCTTAGCAGAGAATTCTTTACTAAAAGATACGTGCAAACAAAGACAATTAGTCACCCTGTCTCTCCCTCCACCCTTCAGGTTATCAACTGCTCAGGACTGGTCCTTATACTCTGAGGACCAGAGTACATTCCAGGCCTAGGAGCCGGAACAATCTTTCATGTGACAGGAATGTCTACATTAGGAGCGGGCAGAGGTGGAAGGTCATGCAGGAAAGGAATGTGCTTAGAGTTACCATCTCTTTCCACCTGGAGCGTGGCCCATTTAGTAGCCGGGCCTAATACAACCCGCCCTTGCCTGTCCTCTTCTTCAACATTTCCCCACCGGTGACCTCTAAGGACCCAGCCCCCCCAAAGCAGAGCCATTCCTAAGGACAGGCATGGGAGCTTGGGACAGCCTGCTAGGATCTGCAAGCAGATAAAGGACGAGGTCTGCTTCCAGAGGTCCCAATGCTGGTATGGAGAGAAGGCACAGTCTGGGGCCTGGAAAGGGAGCAGATACAGAGGATCTCCCAGTAGGGGCGGTGGTGCAGAAGCTGGGCTTTGATCTGTTGGGCAGGAGACAGAAAAGGAGGTCCCAAAAGGACCCTCAGGATGGCCCTAGTATTTTACAAATGCTTTAAATAATTGCAATGTGCTCCTGCCCCTGACAGGGCGAGGCAGCCTTGGACACTCATTAAAGGACACTGAGTGGCTGACTAGCGTGAAGGTATCTGGCCCAAGAAGAAAACTGTTTGAACCTTACTCTGGGCCACACAGTTTTCCTAATATGGATGTTGCTAGGTATTTAAATGTTATCATCATATGACTCACTGAGGGGGATAGCCATCTCATTTTATAGAAGTGGAAAGATAAGGGACCGGAATCCGCCATCCCATCTGCCTCTTCCTAGACCAAGACCGAGGAGTAGGGCAAAGGCCCTAGTACTAGACCTGATCAACCAGCCATCCACGGGACAGCCTCTCGGGAGTGGAGAGGAGGGCCTGAGCATCCCTGCCTCCGTGGTGGACTTCTTAGGCTTTTTCTCCTGGAGAGATCTCCCTGTTTCCCCCCAGAGAGAAGCTTGGACTTACAACCATCTTCAGCTGTGTTTTTCCAGATGCCACCTATAAGGGTCACATGAACCTGAAGGTGTGGCTGCTGCTTGAGTTGGCAGGTGGCCTGGGAAGGTGGGGAGCTACCACAGAGGAATGATCCAAGCCCAAGCAAGGTCACCCCACCCAAGCCTAGCAGGAGAAAGCGAGAGCAGAGAGAGAAGTCTCCATCAATCTAGCTTTGGTGGGGCGGCTGTGGAAAGCGGCAAGGAGGCCCGCCTAGGACGGCAAGTCCACTGCCCTGGCTGCTTGTTTTGTCTGTGGCGGACCAGGCGCGACAGCCCAAGATGCAACACCTCTCTGGGCCTGTTTCCTCCTCAGTAAAATAAAGCTTCTACCACGGAGTAATCATCTAGCCTGATGAAGCTGGAAAGTGAGGTTGAGAGATGGTAGCAAGAAAGGGGGCCCCTCCCCCAACCATAGCTAAGCTTTTGGAATGCTTCTGCCTCCTAGTGGTGACTCAGTAAAAGATCTGTGTTTGGGGATACTGGCCTGGAAATCCTCCTGCCTCCAAGGCCAACTTCCTGTGCCCTCCACCCGGGATTCTTTGCCACTCAACTGCCCTCTTCAGTTTGTGTGTGTTCTGAGTGGCCAGAAAGGCAGTCACAGCCTGTGCACAGGGCACCCACAGTGACATAAAGTGTAGGGCAGGCTCTTTCCATCCTCCTCCTGCAGCAATGAGGTTCTGCTGCCTGGGGGCCCTGCACCCGGCCCTGGAGAATCTCAGGGCATCCAGCATACCACTCTCTGCTCTCAGCCTCTGTCCCGTGTGAGAGCAGACAGGCAGACGGTGGGCTGTGGAGAAACTGGTAAAAGAAGGTGGGGGCTGCTCAAGAGCGTGGCAAACTGTGTGACTCTCGGAAACACGGTCAGCAACTGTGGGTTCGGTCTTGACTGCAGGTTTGTTCAGGGTACATGGTCTTTCCGCCTGACGGCTGGGAAAATTTGGCTTCTACATTCAGGATATCTTCCTGCAGTCTTTGGAGAGGGTTGGGTCACCCTCTCTTCAAGGTGGCCAGGTTTCTACCTATACCTTCTGACCCTGGTCAGGACTGGGAGCTGAGATGGACAAAGACCTCGCCTTATCTCTGCAGTCTGTCCACATCCCTCCTCCCTACACCTGGTCAGGGGACTAAAATTCTAAAGAGAGTGGACAGCGTTAGGTCTCTTTCCTTCTCGCACTGGGCTCTGTGGACTTTCTCGCTGAAGGAAGCATGGCGGGGGCTCGCGACTTCCGACTTCCAGAGATGGGTGGGGTAAGGCTGAGCTCAGCTGGATTTGTGGGGCAGGGCACAGAGAAGGTGGGAGAAATGTGTGCCTGCGAGCACATGCATGCAAGTGTGCGTGTGCATGCGAGTGTGCGTGTGTGTGTGCATGTGTGTGTGTGTGTAGACCAAAGGGGGAGGGAGACAGAGAGGATCTAGGAGCTCAGTGCGTCACCGTTGCTGGGAAAGGACACAGTCTGACTCAGTGGGAACATCCGGCAGGAAGGGAGGAGGGTACACAGTAGCATTTGCAAGCAGGACGGGAACTGGGAGCTGTGCTGCGGAGATGGGGTGTGGGGCCAGGGGGGAAAGCCTGGACAGCAAAGGGGCTGAGGATGGTGGCAAGAAAACACAGAGACAGGAGGCAATGGTGAGGGAAAATAGCTGAGCTGGTCAGTCAGGGACCTCATTCAAGGCCTATGTCCTCATAAGTACTGAAGCTGACCTAGGCACCCCTGGGCTGAGAGACTGGCCTCGGCTGTGTGAGGACTGCTAGGGAAGGAGCCCGTGTCCTTTCTGGGGATCCGAGGGTCTGGAAAGGTCCTCCCTGGAGTACAAGACAGAGAAGGGTCCTGACTGCTCCTGAGTGGAAATGTTAGGGACCCCAGAGAAAGGCCATCTCAACCTTGGTAAGGGGCTGGTAACCCAGAGAGTTAGGCCTCCAGGAGTGGTTGTGTTTGGAGTGCAGAGAAACCATGTTCAACCTCAGGGACCAGATGACGGGGAGGGGCTTTTGAGGTCTGTGATGGTGTGTGCCGGCTGGGGAAGAGGGTTCTTCACGCTTGGCTAATGACTTAAGCCTCTGCTGATTGGACGGCCAGTAGGAGAGCGGAGGAATGCCTGAGGTGGGGCCCTCAGGGTGTGGAGCCTGCATCCCTTGCCTTTTCTCCTATCGAGAGGGTGAAGGCCTCTGCGGGCCTTCCATTCTGCTGCAGGCAAATACAGGCAGGGGTCTTCCCGGGGCTCAGGACCACAGGTTAAGGTGGGCCCTGGGTGCCCAGGCCTCCTGTGCGGGGACACTGAGGCAGGGCAGGGAGAGGTGTTAGACAAGACCAGCCGGCTGCTTGTGCCCTGGTCCTCGCCCTCTGAGAGTGGAAGGGTGGGGGTGGCGGCTGGCCAGACGTTCCTGGCCGGGAGCCCAGAGCACTCTCTGGTAATCACAACATGATCTCTTGTGCTGAGCAGAGAAGCTGAAGCCGGCAGGGAGAGGCCGACAGGCCCGGCTCTGGTGGCTCCAGCTTCCCTCCAGCTCTGGCTCCCGGGGCTGCTTTGGAATCCTCTCAGTGACTGCTATTTCCATGAACTTGGCTGTGAGTGGCACCTTGTCTTGGGCAGAGGGCTTCTGGGGGATGGGAGGGGGCTGAACTACTAAGCAGCCACAGTCTGGAGACAGCTGGTGACAGCTGGGCCTGGGAGGAAGAAGGCCATGATGAGGCAGGTGGTGGGCTGGGGACGTCACTGGGCGGAACACAGACCCCGCAGCCAGACGGGAGCAGGACCTCAGATCTGGACGCGGAGATGTGGCTTTCCCAGAGCAGCTCCTTGCTGGAGCTGCCATGGACCCGCTTGCTGTCCTGCCCACCAGTCAGCAGCTCCGACCTGGAGGGCTGGCTGGGCCCACTTGAGCAGCTCTCTCCTGCAGACTGCCCACAGACTGTGGGGTCCAGTGCCCAGGAGGCCAGAACCAAGCTGAGACCTGTGTGTGTGTGTGTGTGTGTGTGTGTGTGTGTGTGTGTTTAGATTTGGGAGGCAAAGAGTTCCCCCCACCCCCTCGACCTCCTGAATCCCCTGGCAGCTTCCCAGTCACTGCGGGTTCTGCTGCCAGAGCCATTTTTAACTCCCATTCCAGGCTGTGCTCACAGCAGAACTCCCTGGGGAGCCAGGGGGAGGGGCAGCCTGCTGATGGGAGCAAAGGCCCTGGGTATGGAGCCCTGACCTGAGCCCCCCAGGAGGCAGACTGGCAGATAGGCCTCACTAGGATGGGGCTTGGGGCCAGCCCCTTTACCTTCTGTGTGCCTTAACGTAGGAACATGGCCTGTTCTTTGAGCGGGAAAGTTAGAAGTTAGGTCATTGGTGAGCTTGGGTTCCTTGTCTTCTGCAGGGACCTCACAGAGCTGAGTCCACAATGCGCAGGCACGAGGACAAAGACGCCGAGCTGGACCGCAGGATAGCTGCCCTGCGCAAGAAGAACCAGGCCTTACTGCGCAGGTACCAGGTGAGTGGGTTGTAGCGGCTGAGAGGACTCCCATCCCTGAGTGCCCTCAAAGCCTGTTCATGCAGTAGGTTCTTTCTGAGACATCTAGACCCCGACTCCAGGCCCTGACCCAGGGTCTGGGTGGATCGTTCCTCTCAGAGGCGTGGTCAGAGTCTCGGGCCCTGGTGAGGCCGGTGCTTCTGCCCCCTGGTGCCCCACTGGTGTTTCTCTGTGTAGGCCTGTCAGCGGTGTCTGTGTGTCTGTGAGCCTGGGGGGCCGTGGCCTTGCTGATCCCAGGCCCTCCCACAGGAGATCGAGGAAGATCGTCGCCAGGCAGAGCAGGGGGGCATGGCTGTGACCACACCAGGGCTCTTCCAACCTGACAGCCTCACAGTGACCATCAGCCAGGTTCCTGGTGTAAGTTCACCCTGGAGAGTGGCAGAGTTAAGGCATGATTCCGTTCCTGGGCTGTTACCACTACCCCACTTTCTCCTGTTTGCCTTTCTGGGTGTCCCCCCAGCAACAGGCCTCCTTAACAACCAAGTCTTGCTACGCTCCCCCAAAGGACGGCAGATGAAAGACCACCAACAGAGGCTTTCTACAGCCTTTTCCAGCCCCATGACTTTGTACAAAAGCCAGAAAGCACAGTCATCACCCTACCCCAGCCCCTGAGGCTAAAACCTCACTGGAAGCAGAGGACAGAAAAATCTAGGCTAAAAGCAAAAGAATCCGTGCCTTAGAGATAAGGCTGTATTGTCTGTGCGCTCTGGGTTTCTGGAGATGACAAGTCCTCATGGCATCTTGGGTGCCTGGGTTGGCCCTTAGCTTTGGATAGCTAATGCCATTGGCACGTGGACTCCTGAAAGGTCAAGTTTCTCCACGGGCATTCCAGAGAGGGCCAGGGCTAGAACCCAAACCTTGGAACCCCTTGCCCAGCACCTAGCACCCAGAACCTGGCCCTGCCTAGGACTGCCCACGTGACCTGAGGACACAGGTGTCTCACTCTGCAGGAGAAGAGGGTGGTCAGCAGGAACTGGGCCAGGGTGCCCCCTGGAAGGATTGATGCGCTGACAGATGACAATGCTGCCGCCTTGACGGGCACTTTCTGCATGGGGGACCGGGTGGAACTAGCTGTCACCATGGAAAACAAAGCCAGGGTGAGCGTTGGCGCTTCCAGACCCCGGGTGGGCAGTCTCCTCCCCTTTGGCTCAGACTTGACATCCATCTACACCCTCGACAGGCCAAACGAATCGTGAGTGAAAAACCCACCACCCAAGCAAGGACCCCAAGGGCGAAGGGGACATCTGGAGGAGTCCGGGGCCAGAGCTCTCCCCTGCAGATGGGTTTCAGCCCAGATTCAGCAGGGAAGGTACATTTTCAAGAAGGGATAGGAGACACAAATTGGCAATCCCTGTTGGGAGGAGGCAGAGAAACAAAGTCAGATATGTCCCTTGCCTAAGGGGAGCCTGGCCTAGGCACCACCTTCGAGAATTCTCACCCTCTTCCCCTTCTCTGACTTAAATTCACTTTGGGTGCACCTTGCCGTGAGAAATGGTTTAAGCCAGAGCTGTGATTCGGCCATGAAAAGACCCATACCTCAACATTATCCTAAGTGTCAGTGGGATGTGTAGGCGACTGGCTATGTGCCAGCTGTGACCTCTAGGTGGCAGCAACCCCTTGTAATTGCTCTTGCTCTTGCTCACAGCCTCTGGGTGCCCCTCCTATCTAGGGGCCAGTCTACCCACACCAACAACTAAGAAAGGAGACACCGCCTTTTACAGATAAGGAAGTGATGCATACAGAGGTTAAGTTACTGGTCCCAAACAGACAGCTAACGAGCGTTCAGATGCAAACAGCCCATAGCAAGTACAGCATGCTAGAGACAAGGCAAACCTAATCACATACTGGGACGTGGACACCCTGAGAGAGGAAGGGCTTAGCGGACTCTCTGGAGCTCCACTTGAATCATCTCCTTTCTTCGCCCCCACAAGCCTACGTGTCTTTCCTTTGCAGGGCGGTCTGGAGCCCCGGAGTCCAGGCGTGTCCCCAGGCCCACCTCCCCAACAGCCTGTGGGACTCCCCCCAGAGGCCAACTGGGACTACAAGCACTGGAAGCAGGAGCGAGAGCAGATTGACCTGGCCCGTCTTACCAGGCACAAAAATGCACAGGGTGACTGGAGCCGCCCGTGGGACCTGGATAAAGCCAAGTCCATGTGGGTGGTATGGCTGAGTAGCTTGCTGAGACATTGTGATTGAGGGACCGGGTAGGGTTAACTGTGGGTGCCTCTTGGAGGGAGAGGACCTGCATTGGACTCCTAGTCAGACCCTGGGCTCAGGGTTCTGTGTGCCCCCTCTCTTGGGTCCACCACCCTTGTGCCCTGAGGTTAGGGGAGGCAGTGTCAGGGTGGAGGCTGATGCAGCCTCTGTTCACATTGGCCCCGGTGGACGGACCTAATGCCCTCCTCTGTCTAACTCAGGCCACAGAACTGCAGCAAGCCTAGAGATAAGGACTGGACCCCGGGCAGAAAGGGTGAGCCAATACCCACCGTGTGTCCTGTGCCTTGTTTGTTTGTCTTTTGGGACATTCTCAGCCCAGGCTGGCCCAGAACTCATGACCCTCCTGTCTCATCTAGGATCCCACTCTCCTCTCTTTTCTGTCTCATCAAAGATGAAAGGAAACACAGAAAAATATCTTCCTTTCCTTCCTTCCTCTCCCGTATTGTTCCATCTCTCTTGAGTCCTTTGAGCCACACCTCAGTTTGGATTCTGTGGGAGCTGACCTGGGTCTTTCCAGACGCTGGTCCTTGTGGGGTAAAAGTGTGAGTGGAGCTGGGCGGTGGTGGTGCACACCTTTAAGTCCAGCACTTGGGAGGCAGAGGCAGGCAGAGCTCAGTGAGTTCGAAGTAAGCCTGGTCTACCAAGCGAGTTCCAGGACAATCAGACTGTTACACAGGGAAACCCTATCTCAAAAAACAGACAAACAAACAACAACAACAACAACAAAAACCCAAACCCCAATATGTCCAAGTGGTCCTCCCTGGCCTGCTGTGGAAACTGTCCTGCGGACTTCTGGTGTCTTCCTGCCTCGTATGTAGAACCTGGGGGCTAACGAGCTGGCCATGTCTCATAGCTGGGGAGTGGAAAAACAACCCAGGACTACAGGCCTGGCCAGGCTTTTCCGGGGAGGCGGCTCAGACTTTGGAGGAAATAGAACTCCTAACAGGATTACTACTGGTAGCGTCTTGGTACTAGGGAACTGCTGTCTCTGTTTGACCCTTTGACATCCCATCCCCATTTCCTTTGTCTCTCTTAGGTCCTAGGACCCCTCAGAAGCTACAGCCCCCACCACCATCCATGGATGGAAAGCGTGAGTTGGGAGAAGAAAAGGAGCAGGATTGCTTTCGCTGGTGAAGGCAGTGGCTACAGCCCTCTGTCCTTAATGTCTTGCAGGTCAGGATGAACAATCTGGAAGACCCTCGGTGACACCCACCATAGGCAGCAAAGCCCAGGGGAAGGAGAGGCTGACTGGCAGAGCCCGAAGGTAACAAGCTAAGAAGCAGCAGGGGACAAAAATCAAGGCAGGCATTTAGGTGTCCTCATTTCCTGGACTGGCCCAGGTCCCTCCGCTTCATCCCCAGGGCCCCTGCTTCCTGGCTTCTTGCTGCCTGTTACAGGTTAATGAGATACCGAGAAAGGCCACCATCATAGGTGGTGTTGGTGAGAGCCTGGTGCCCAGAGACTGTGGTAATTACAACATCTTGCTTCCTCTGAGATGTGAGGTGCGCCTTTCCCAGGCGGAGCACGCAGGGACATGCCTGGAGTCCCTATGGATCTCATGGTGCAACAGGCTTGATCATAAACAGCAGCTGGGGACCCAGGATGGATGCTCAGAGGAAATGGCTAGGTTTGAGAACCAAGATCAGGCTGGGGAGGAAGCATCTTGGAGCCTCATTGTGGTTCTGGCCCTACTCTGAAACCTCTGGGCTTTAGCTTTTCTTTGGGGTTATGAAGGGGGTTACTTGAAGCAAGATAGAGCCCGGCCCAGGACCCGCCTGGCAAGGGCCCGCCTGGCCCAGGACCTGCCTGGCACAGAAACTGCCACTTGCTGTGTTTCTACAGGTGTGGCCTGAAAGAAGACGAGAAGCTGCAGAGCCAGGAGGTGGGTACTTAGGCATAGGATAGGGCAGTGTGGGGATGGGAGCCCCAAATTTACTAGTCAGCTGGGCTCTTCTTTTGCTTCAGGGAAGTCAGAGCACCACGAAGACTCCCAGTACAGAGGAAGAGCATGAACAAAAGCAGAATGAAATGGAACCAGGCAGACAGGAGACCATCCCTGCCATCAGTCCAGTTCTGGCCTCCCCAGAGGGGCTAAAAGAGGAGTCAGGAACCTCTACTACAGTCAGTGTGGCCCTAGACACCCCACAAAATTCTGATTTGGCTCCTCTTGACCTCTCTCTAGGAGGAGCTAGCAGCCCCAAGCCTGAAAAAAGTACATGTGGACTCAGTACAAGGTGTGGGATTCCAGAAAGTCCAGTACCACGGCCAACTGGTTCTGAGCAGCAGACCTTGGCAAGGCATGACCACCAGTCTGAGTTGGCAGGCTGCATTTATACTGAGCCACTGAAAGAAGCAGAGGCCTCAGGGTCCAAAGAGGACCAGGCAGGTAAAGCTGGGGCCCAGCAGAACCTGGCACTGAGAAGCAGGCCCCCCCAGAGGAACTGGCCAAAGGGCAAGAGGCACAAGTAGAAGAACCGGGGCAGGAGGCCCTGGCCCTGCAGGAAGCTGCTGAGCAAAGCTCATGGGAGTTGGGGAGCCAGGCTGTGGAGGAGAGAGCTCAATCAAGAACCTTCTGCAGGACAGGGGTCTGGCTGCTTGTGGCTTGTACCTTTGTGGTCGAGCAGTGTGGCAAAATTCCGCAGGGGCACCGCGTGAGGGCCTCCTCTGCACATCTCTCTACGCAAGTGGGCTTTTACATATGGGCAAGGACCCTGGCACATTTGCCACACTGGGCTCTCTTGTCCAAGGATGGTATCCCTGGCCTGGGCCTACTGCTACCTAGGATAGGGCCCTTCCCACAAAGCAAGAGTTGGTAGTACCCCAGAATGTGGGTCTCCTGGCTCCTTGTCATTCCATATTGCCAGGTCACCCCGCCCAGTCAGAGCTTTCGGGTTCTTCAGCTTTAGGTAGTCTCAGTGCTGGTGTGGCCAGCCCAGCCCCTTTCTGATACCCATGCCTTGCATCCAGGTGACTCACAGTCCTGGCCTTCCAAGATGGCCAAACTGGGATTTCAACAATTGCCCAAGGCCCATAGAAAGTGGGTTGGGGCTCATGGCTGTCAGGAACAAGGTTGGAGTGGAAGGCTTCTTGAAGGAAGGGAGGCATCGGAGGGCCTCTTCTTTGATCTGGGCTAGGCTTCTCTTGTCCGTGGCCACAGGTGAATGGAAGAGTTCACTGGCAGGTACTGAGTCTGCCTCTTCTATATCCAGATCAGACATCGTGGGCGCCCTGAATGGACCCTGCAGACAGGGCCATTTCCTGACCTTCCTTCCTTCCTTCCTTCCTTCCTTCCTTCCTTCCTTCCACATTTCCCCTCACCAGGGCCGTGCAGAAGCCAGAACATAGGCGGAGACAGAGGAACAGCAACCTCAGCTCAGTACGACACCGGGATGTGTTGTTCTCGCTCAGTCTCCATCCAGGCCCCTCCCACGGGGCCCACGTCTGGTGAATTATCCAGACTCTGCACAAGCTGTGGCTTCCTTTCAATACAACAAACATTTCCTGAGCATCTTCTCCCAGTGATCCAGTCAGTGGGAGGGCGACTCTGCCAGCAGGAGGGAGGGAAGGAGCTCAGTCATCGACAGCTCCAGGCTGAATGGCAAGTGCTGTTCTCCTCTGTAGATGCCTGGCAGCCTTGGGTATGACGAGGGTAGCAGCCTGAGAGAGCCACCCCACCTTTGCTTCCTTCTTTTGATATGGCCTGTGCCCTTGCTCCCAGGCCCTCATCTGGATAGCACCATGCAGCCCCTCCCCTTTCTTCTCTACAGGGTGTGTGTGTGTGTGTGTGTGTATGGTGGGGGTCTCACAACAATCCTCTGAAACTCTAGGGAAAGCCCACACCATCTCCATCTTTACATGTGTGGCCTGAAACCTGGGCTCCAGTCTTGGCCTTCCTTCCTGGCTCTTGGGTCTATTGCCTCTACTCAGGCAGTGTGAATCTTCGAGCAGGTCATGTTGTTTAGAGACTTCTCGCACTCCGGGTGCAGGTTGAACCCAGGGGGTCTGGGGAAGGTCTGGGTGTTTGCTTTTCTAGTAAGTCCCAGGTGAGGGAGGCATGGCTGCTCTTTTTGGCCTGAAGCACCCTTTGAGGAGTTGGGTTCTGGAGTGGAGTGTGTGAAGGATTCAGGTTAGAGCGAAGTCTACACTCTAAGGCCAGTTGCTGGCTATGCTGGAACTAGGGGAGTGCTGGCCCTGCCGAGTAGAAGAGGCTTCCTGGCTTCTGAGGCTCCTGCAGAAGAACCTTTGGGTAGTGGGTAGTGGAGTCTGCTCTACAGTGGATGAAAAGGAAGCTGGCTAGGGAGGGATGTGACCGGATGAAGCGGGCAGGAGGGTCAGCGGAAGTTTGGAGAGGCAGAAAAACATTCTTGTACATGTGAGACATGCCTGGGCCAGAATGAAGGATCCAAATTCAAGTTTTTATCCTGCCTTCCAGTCTCAAGTCTAGGTCTTTGGAGTGTGACACGGGCCCTGGAGCTCATGACTCCTAAGAGATGGGACTGGAACAGAGCAGGGTCAGGCAGAGTTCTTGAATTCAGATACTGCAAAGAAATGATGGTGATCAAGAATTCGAATTCTTGGCTAGGGTGCAGGTTGGGAGAGCTCATTCTCAGCATACGTGAGGCCCTAGTTTCAATCTCTAGGATCCTCAAGACAGACAGACAGACAGAGAGAGAGAGAGAGAGAGAGAGAGAGAGAGAGAGAGAGAGAGGAGAGAAAGAGAGAGAGAGGAGAGAAAGAGAGAGAGAGGAGAGAAAGAGAGAGAGGATTCACAATTTGCCCCCCCCCCCATTGGATGCTGCCAATTGCACAATGTACTTCATTAAACCACACAGAGCAGGACATGTTTGACCGCCGGCTGAGGATGTAAACATCTGGCAGGGTTCTAGCTCAGACCTTACAAAGGGACCTAAGCAGGAGAAAGAGCTGGCAAGGAGGACTGAGGGCATGGGGCTTTTCTTCATGGGCAACAGCCATTAAGTAGATGACTGCAGGAAGCCGTCCTAGGGATTGGAGAAAAGGGAAGCCGGAAGCCAACACAGGGCATCTTCATCACTGAAGCCGCAAGTGCCAGCAATAACACCAAGCTTTCCCTGAGAAAGGGAAGCTTTTCTCCAAGATAAGATAAGATAAGGGTGTCACCTCCCAGCTCTCTGGGTGTGGCCAGCCTGCTCTGCGACAGAGTCAACTCTGAGCAGGAGAAATCCCTGTCAGTCATTCCTCTTGAGGCTGCAAAGAGCTCGTTGAGGTGACTCTTGCTGGTGGCTTTGTTGAAAGCTCTGACCCGGAGCTTTCCCTTAGGAAGCCCTCTTCTCTCCAACAACCAGACAAGACTACTTTTCAAAAGTAGGAGTCTTCATTAAACCCAGCTCTGGGGAACCAGATGCAGGGCTGGAAGGAGCCAACAAGGAAAGTCCCCAGGGGGACCCCGGAGGGAGAGGACACAGATCACATGCAGAAACCTTGAAACTAAGAAGGCAGGAAGGAAACGGAGATGATGCTGTAAGAAAGGTGTGTGCTTTGATCCCAGACCCTGTAGTAGAGCAGAACATACTTTGGAGTCTGAGACTCTAAATATGAACCCTGGACCTCCCATCCACCTTGGTCAACTTGAACCTCTAGGAGCTTCGGTTTCCCCATTTGCACAATGAGGCTTGCAGCAGGACCTCGAAGGGGTTGCTGAGAAAGCTGGCCTGTGCAAACTATGCCTGCACTCAGTAGACTGCGGGAAGAGGAGCTGGCACACAGAATGTTAATAAACAAGGTGGACCTTGGATACAATGTCGATGTCTGCTTGTGTTCTGCCGTATTTTTTTTTTTTACTTTCCTTTTACTGGGGATCAGTGCTCTCTCGGAGAGGATGGCATTTTCCTTTCCTTTCATTATTTTCCTCCAGAAGCCCACCCGCTAGGGAGCTTCCTCTGAGTCTCCCAGAAGCAAGTTCTGCCACCCAAAGGAGCAAATGACTGGTCTTCTTATGGTCAACCTCAGCTATTTAAAACAACATACAAGTTAGGAAGATCTGACCACTAGTTAACTCCAGCCCCGGTCCCACCCTCAGGAATGAGAATTATAGGAAAAGATGACACTGGGCCTTAAAAACACCAAGAAATGGCAAACTTTTTCATATGGACTGTCTTTTCTGGGAGTGGGGGTTGCCAAGAGAAGAGAGGAAAACAAAGGCACGGCCATTTCGCACTGTCATGTATCGGTGTCCCCCAGCATCTCCTTCTGAGTCGGAGTTCTCTAGGCTACAGAGGAAGGACAGATATGGTGACCGCAGCTTCCCCACACAGGCAAAAATTGAGGGCTGGGAACGGTGAAGAGGAGAGCCAGCAGAGTCCAGACTGCGGCTGCTTTCTCTCAAGTCTGCTGTGCCTACGTCACAGCTCTCATTAACATCCACTTGACGCCAGGGAGGTGAAAAAGCGCAGACCTGGCACCAGAAAGAACAAGCGTGGCACCCACTGCTCCTTTTAAGGACTGGCTGGAGCAGCAGCCAGCCCCGGGGCAGGAGGTGAGGGAGGTGAGCAAGAACACCAGCACCTTGGAGGCTGAGGGAGGAGACTACAGCCTACCTCCATCTTAACAAGCTCTCCAGGGCAAACTGTCAAAAATAATGGACGGCATAAGCTTTTTCCTTCTTACAAACTCTGGGGACATAGTGTTTCCTCTCCCTCAAGCAGGGCAGCTGGCTCCAATGAAGCAAAAGAGTCAAAAATCACACTGATGACCAGCTAGCCCAACAGGAAGGTCCCCACGTCACCGAATCAGAGGGAAAGGCTGGGCCAGCGGGGGCTCTCCAACTCCAGTGTGCACTGGAATCACCTGGAAAGCTGGGTTGGCTTTTCTTGTTTTTGAGTCTTGTTTTTTGCTTTATTTATTTACTTATTTTTGGTTTTTCACAATAGTGTTTCTCTGTAGCCCGGGCCCTCTTGGGACTCACTCTGAAGATAGGGCTGACTTCAAACTCGGGTATCTGCCTGCCTCTGCTGGGATTAAAGGCATGCACCTGGCTGGAAAGCTGGTTTTTAAACAAAAGTCCTGCCTCTGCTTCCTGAGACAGTCGCTCAGCTGATCTGGAATGTGGCTTACAGTGCCATAGCTCTCCCAGTTTCTCAGGAGATGCTGATCTCTTGGTCTGGGGTGTCATCTTTGCTGGCCTCCCCTTCACATTTCCTTCTGTTTTTTTTCTACTGCAGGAATGGATATGCCCTTGAAAATATATTACCTCCTGTGTTATGTACCATCCGTTTATTCCCAAGGCCTTAAAGCCCTTTCACACCCGCTGCCTCATTTGCTCTTAGGATATCCCATTTGGTTGGCAGAAGAGGCCAAGGCCTTTCCAATGCTACCGATGAGCTGTGAGGTTTCTTAACTTCCTGTTCAGGGGTCACTTCTGAGAACACACTGCCTCCCACCAGGGTTCTGGTCACGCCATGAGCTCACTAGACCTCACAGATGGGCTCCTGTAACTTTTTAAATATATATAATTTATGTTGTATGCGTATGGTTGTTCTGCCTGTGTGCATGTCTGTGCACTACGTTCGTGACTGGTGCCTGTGGGGGCCATAAGAGGGCGGGGGACCCCAGGAAATGGAGTGACTGACAGTTGTCAGCCACCACGTGGGTGTTGTGAGTGGAACCTGGGACCTCTGGAAGAGCTGCAAGCCCTCTAAACTGCTGAGCCATCTCTCCAGCCCTGCTTCTGTAACCTGACACATCCCAGCAGGTACCTAAGGGACAGGTGGCTTCTGGGACACAGGGGACAATTGTATCTAATGACTGAACACTGAGGGAGTAGAAGAAAAAGAAGGTATATTTAAAAAGAAATCATTTCTGAGGAATACAGTTGCTTTTTTTTTGACAAGTTTGTTTTGAGAGTTTTGAAGTTCACTTGGCATACTCTGGGCACTTGATAAATACTAAATTAATGGTAATGGTTTGTGGAAAATATTCCTGAGGATATTAAGCAGAATCTTGCTGCCGGAATAAAAACTAATGAGAGAAATTAGGAAAATGGAGCTGTTTAGGCAATAGAGCATGACGGCCATGGGCAAGAAGTGTGTGCTAATCTTCTGGTTCCTTTCTTGTAGCTTAATAAATGCTTTCGAAACTGAACAGGACCACAAGAACTAGCTCAGCGAGGGCGCTTATGACTGACCAGGTGACGCCTGTGTGAGAAGGACCACTGGGGGCTGGGTTGGTGGCGACGATGGACATCCTAATAGCATTGGGTGTGTGGCAAAGGCAGGCTTTGTTTGTTTATTTATTTTTTTGACCAGCTGTTGGAGGGAACAAAAATCGTAACACAGGCTCTCTGCAGCAGAAAACCACAGGCTATGTCTGTGAGGGAAACAGATGTGACCAAAAAACTGTCAACAGTGCAGCTATTTTTGTAGCTCTACATTAAGGCTGGGACAGAGAGGACAGTGAATGGGTCACAAAGCCCGTGCTGCAGCCATATGGATGACAGCATGGACTTCTGGTTCCTGGACCAAGCCTATCAACACGGACGGAAGGAACCGTTCAACCAGGTAAGGGCAGCTATAGCTTGAAAGAGACTAAGGCTGTGGTGCAGGTTCCGTAAGTGGACCATGACAGGAGCACCATGACGACGTGCCGTTACCTCCATCACGGTGACCGCCCAGGTGATCCACACTCTCTGAGGACTTGGTGCTCTGTGCCAGGCACTGAGTTGGCACTGGCCATGAGAAATGAGCAAAGCCACTGCAGCCCTTTCCCCTCCCAGAGGGAGGCCAATTAAACGGTACAGCTGTGGCCCTTTGTCACAGAACTGCACTTCCAGAAATACCTCCATTTTCTGCAGACAGGAAGGGAGGACCATTATTACCCTCTAAAGAGCTGCAGTGGCCCTAAAGCCACCAGCCTTCCAGCTCCTCAGAGCAGCAACAGCAGCGTGTAGGAACACGTAGATGCTCTGCCTCCAGCATTTCCAAACAGGATATAAATACTCGACGACACAACACACCAGCTTACAATTCCCCAGGGAAAACCGAGAACCAAGGTAGACAGAAAAGCTTCCCAAACCGTGGTGCCATCCATACCGTGGAGCTCTTAGTGGGGGGGGGGGGGGGGGGGATAACACTGCTTAAGGTTTCAGAGAAACACTTTTCTGTACCCGAGCAGCCATGGAGGAAGGAGAAAGATACAAGCTCATCCAAAGGGCTCCCTGACCCCATACTTTCAAAACTTCATTCTTTTTTTTCAGGCTGCCAGGGAATGAACAGACACGGTAACTTTCAGTATAAGCAGACACCCAGGGATCGTCCCAGTGCAGAGCAGTTAAGAGGGAAAATCTCTAATGCCCTTCACACAGGCCTTCCAGGCTTAAACACATGGACAGTTTTGCTCCTACCCAACATTTGCAAAGAAAGCTGTTTCCGAAGCCTGTTCCCATTCCATCGGGCCCTGTTCTAATCAGCCACCAGGCTCTCCGTGTACCTACTGCTATCTCTGGCCAATGTGGTAAGCTGTGTGCAGGTGTAGAAGCCACATGTCCCCATCTGCGGATGGGAGGGGGTGAGTGGAAAGCCACCGAACTCACTCCTACCTTACCAAGGCCTCGCACAGAAAGCCATTGTGTAGGCTGAAGAGGGAAATAAAGGAAGGGCGGGACTTTTCCCTAGCCTCCCGCAGACTACAAGGTGAAGTAAATGCACAGTGCCTACCCCCTCACAGTTCTAGAGAAGTGCAGGCCACAGGGGGCTCCACCAACACTGGCTTCTCACTCCGGATTTGTACTGGGTACCAATTGTCTCGTAAGGAGCTGAACTCAATTTCATACCATGTATTTCTGCAGCATAACTAATCCCTTAGATTTATGCTTCTCACCCACATCTTTTTTGTTGTTGTTGTTTGCTTTCAGGGGAGGAAAAAAAAAAAAAACCCTGCACCTTTGAAGCAACCTACACCTCTTAGCTGCTTGGCCCTGGGGAGACAGGCTCCACAAGGCAGCTCAGAGGCCTGGGTTTGTCTTTTTCCGTGTCAGCACTTCCTGAGTTAGCAAAAGGCCAACAGTTTAAGGTGAGAACACGACGCCAGCAGGCAACTGTATCTTCACCTCAGACAGCTAAATGTTTGTGATTAAAGCTTAATCCTCACACTTGCTGGTCCTCCTGCTAGGTATCTGCTTAAGAGTACCATGGAGTAGAACTTTCTCTGCCCTCCGGCCTTGTTAGGTTAGCAGAAACTGGCATCCTCTTCTGACCTGACTAAGATGGATCCTGCCATCTTCCTCTAATCTGCTCAACTGCAGGCACCGAGAACAGCAAGGCAATTGCCTTTTCCTTCTGCACCTATTCATCACCACCTACCCAGGGCACCCAAGACCACCTCTACTCCTTCTCCATAAAGTCAGTAAGAGAAAGGACCAACTGACACAGGCTTAGGCAGAGTTCTTAGAATGTATTTTGTTCACCTGAAAAATAAAACTTTTAAAAAATATACAGGACTTTTAAAGTACAGGTATATCTTGAATGGCTGAATTATAAATAATGTCTCTGGTCATGTTCACAGCTAGGGCTGGAGAAAATGTCCCAATTCCAGTGAAGGCTTTGGAGAGTCGGGAGGCCAGCTGGACCACGAGTGGTCTGGCTGGACTCTGATTCATCCCAAAGTGGATTTAAACAGTCCATAAAGCAGGGTCACAAGGGTAGGAGGAATGGACTCCCAGATAGTCTCCCACGAGTCCCGAGGATTCTTGGAATAAGAGATCAATTTACAAATTATTAAAATATAGGACTAAAAATTCACACCATAAATATAAATTACAGGCTATTATTGAAGTTATAAAGTGGCATTTTATGTCCCCCCCCCCAGTCTCTCCTCAAAAATTTAAAAAGTCCCCATGGGCCTCCTAGCGACCGAAGTCCTAGTCAGTTGTGAAGAAATCTCCAAGCCCAGACACCTTGGGGTGTTGGCAGCCTGCTGGGAGGCTGCCAGCTTAGGAGCTACTTTCTTGCCCAGGACAGGACATGGCTTAAATCAAGACTGTTGTCCTGTAAACCTGAATCAGAGCTAACTACTACAAGGTAGGCCAGAAAACTGGATAGACAATTCAGGACCAAGGTGGGCAGGGTTCCTGTTGGTTTCTTTTTTAAGTAGCTCATTTCCCAAAAAGGAAACACTAAGGGGTTAGATCTCTGTCACTACCCACACTCAATTGCCTAAAAGCAAGTGGCAGAGGAAATGGAATCCAAACTGAAGGAGTATAATTCCTGCTGCCCTGGAGCTAGCTATGTGCATGTGTGTGTGTGTGTGTCCCTTCATCTGTCACACCTCTAGAAACCTTGCTGCATTTAAGTGGGAGCTTATCAGGAACGAGAAAGACAAGGTGCCAATTCAATCTTCCCATGGCTGGTCCCCTCACTGGCTATCTTAGCACACTCTCGGGCTTGAGTCCTATAAAGTAACTCAAAACCAGAGCATATCAAAGCTTGGGCTTCGAAACTGATTTTGTCCTAACGGCAAGATGCTGTGTTGTTTCAGGCTCAGAAAATAGAAAATGCAAAAATGAGTAAGACAAGATCTAGGAGGGCAAGAAATTAAATAAGACAAGATCTGGAACCAGATAAGATAACGGAGGAGCCAGAAAAGGAACGAGAGAAAACACTTGCCAATCACTGCACTTACAAAGGCTTGCTCTTCCTAAAGGAATTCTGTGAGGGAAGAGACTGATCTAAACACAGCGCGTACTCCTTCTCCATTGCCCCTGGCATCCATCCAGACACCCGGGGCTGCAACAGGAAACCACTTTGGTGGGAGCCTTAGGATGGGAACGGGAGGGGGATCAATACATTCCCCCACCCTCCCTAAACGGTTTCTACTACTGAGGTTTTTCCACTGTCATGTTAGCAGTCTAAGAACGATTATACTTGTGTAAGAACGTCGGGAACTTAATCTTTCTGAACCGGGCAGGGAACAGGTGAAAGAGTGGGTGATGAAGAAAAAAAAAAGCTGTGTTTGTGCCCTTCTGACTAAGTGCAGTTTGGAGGCCAAGCAAATAGCCCTTGCTGGACCCCACCATTCAGTAGCTACCCAGGGTGAGGGGGAATACATAGAATTCTGTGTGATTATAGCTTCTAGTGCATATGTCAACAACTATATACAGGGATCTATAAATTAAACGCATGTCTGGCCACTGCAACTAGGTTGACGTACCTGAGCTCCGCTACTTTTGGTGTTCTCCTTTTGGAGAGCTTCAGCTTATTAAAAAAGAGCCCCTACACAACTCCCTCCCCTCCCCTGAGTCTTGGGGATGGGGCGCCCCAGTCACCCCCTGCTTTAGGATACACCAGAGCTAGCGGCGCAGAAGGGCTGGGTGCTAGGCTCTTTCTCCCCACCCCCCCACCCCCAGCTCCCCTTATGGCTCTGGGCCCTGGCGCAGCACGGGTGCTGGGAAGATCAAACCCCGAGTCCCCGGCGAATCGTGGTCCCTTGGCTGGTCCGGTTGTGTGTTACCCGCTCCCGGGGCGAGCTGGCGACCGCTGAGGTGTGTGGGGGCGTTCGCTCGCGTAGGGGTCACTCCGGAGGGCTCCGGAGCCGGTCCTGCCGCAAAGTCCAGCCTGTGGGCTTGGGGGCCGAAGATTCCCGACCGCCCCCAACGCGGAGAGGCTCAACGACTCCGGGGCGCCGCGGCCGCTTCCTCTTCGTCCTCGTCCGGCCCCCGCGGCCGCTCGAGCGGCCCGACTAGCGGGTTGTCTGCAGCGGGTTCCGGGGGCGCCGGCCTCTCCGCCTGCAGTGGGGGAGCGTCGCGTGGCGCCTCGCTGTGGGACGACCTGGTGGTGTTGGACCCCGCCGCCGCCCCCGAAGTCCCAGACGGGCCAGTGGCGTTGGAGACGCTGTGGGGCGGGCCGGCGGCTCCCCCCGAGGTCCCGGCGCCCACCGGCTGCCAGATGAGGCTGTAGTAGACGGCCAGTACGATGGCGGCCAGCGACACGGAGAGCACGTAGGCGAACACCGTGGCGAGCCGGACCCACTTCTTGTTGGTCTTGGCCGCCATCTTCGCCTTCTTGTCCCCGGTATAGGTGGCCGGCTTGCCCCGCTCGGCCGGGGCCGCGTCGCGCTCCTTCATGGGGGGGCCCCGGCCTTTGCCCCGGTGCTCCACGGCCCCGGCTGGAGGGGGCCTGACGGCCTGCGAGGACTGGGCAGGGGGCGTCTCGGCGCCCTAGCTTCCCGGCGGCCCCGCGCTCCGCCGCCGCCGCTCCTCACGCCGCCCGCCCGCAGCCCGCCACCGCGTCGCTGCTCCTGCTGCTGCTGCTGCCGCCGCCGCCGGGGCCCGTCACCGCCGCCAGCGCCGCCGCCGCCGCCGGCCCGCCAGCTGCTTCCCGGCCGCCGCCACAGCCACAACCGCCCGACTCCGAGTCCCCATCCGCTGTCGCCGCCTGCTCGGCCGCCGGCCGCCTGGTCTCCAGTGGCCGCGCGTACCGCGCGCTCCGGCTCCTACCCGGCTCCCCCGCGGGGCGCGCCGGTGCAGGGGGCGGGGCCTCGCGCTGCCAGGGGGGCTGCCTCTTAAAAGGGCGATGCCGAGGCCCGGAAGTGCCGCTCGGGGAGGCGGCTGCAGCGGGGCGTCGCGGGACCCGCGGGGACGCCCAGTTAAGAGAGAGTTAAGGAAGGCTGGGCCTTAAAGGGGCGATGGGCGCTTCTTTAAAGGGGGAAACGGCGGCGTTGTGCTGGAGGGAGTGCTGAGCCGGGAGGCGGAGGGTAGGGCCAGCTGGGCGGGGAGCTGTCAACTCCTGCACCTCCCTACATCGCCCCAGGCTAGGAGGTGATCGGGCCAACCAGGCCCCGGTCCTTTAGGCCTCCGAAGTGGGGCAGACACTAAGCTCTTGATCTCCCACTAGCTCTCGCGGAGCGGGTGCAGTAGTGTCCCAGATCCCTTCACCCCGAAGAGCCCGGTTCAGATCTGGAAACCCGGCGCGTACACCCAAACCGCTGCCTGTCGCGATTCTTTTCTCCTGATGTACTGGACTCTGAGACTCCACGAATCTTGCCTATTTGGGGCCTCTTAGGACCCCTGAGTCAGTTTGTCGTGAGCCTCAGGGACAGAGCGAAAGTTTGTTCCCTAGATTCGCCTGCCACTTTAATCTCGTCTCACAACAGGTCTCAAGTCCTACTCAGGTCTTCTGATTCCCGGGGCTGTCCTTGAATTGTGCTCCTGGGGCTGCACTGAGCTGGTAGAGGGCGTCTCCTAGGGTTTTCATTCTTTCTTTTTCTTTTACTTTTTTTTCCCCCCAGCCCCAGGATCTAGAGAATTCTTTTCCCACTTGAGGTTTGTCCTACCAGGCTCTAGACTTTTGCTCTTCTGGCCCTTTGGGTGCCTACACCCCTCTGCATGCAGGGACTGTCAGTGACCACTTTCCCTATGCCTTTACCTCCTCTTTGCTTCTTTCCTTCCTATTTCCTCTCTGTGGGATTCATTATGATTTCGGGGGCCCTCCACTTGAATCTTCCCCAAACTGTCTTTGTGAGCCTGGGTGTCTGAAAGGCTGAGAGAACTGCTGGTTTAAGTGTATGGGAGGGAGGACTGTGGTCCTGATGAGGTGGGGTGGGGGTACCTTCTCCGTGGCCTCTGCGAAGGAGGGCCTGGCTGGCTTCTGACCTTGTGGGACAGGACTCTCTCCCATTCCAGGAGCCTTTGACGTTGACGTTCCTTACCCAAGCCTTATCCCTAGGCACAGAAGCAGCTACTAGTGGGCTGCTGGTACCACAAGCTTCTAATCCAGTCCTGGTGGAGGCTCAGGTGGGGCTGTGCCATTAGCAAAACGGCCCAACTGACGCTGTTTCAAGGAAAAGCTTGCCCTTTACTTTCTGAGAAATGACGAGGATGGTGGGAGTTTGGAGTGCTTATTGGCTTCTGTGGATTGATAGGTGGTGTGTGTGTGTGTGTGTGTGTGTGTGTGTGTGTGAGAGAGAGAGAGAGAGAGAGAGAGAGAGAGAGAGAGAGAGCGCTTTTCTTCCCTACCCTGCTCCCAGGGCAGCCAGAGCTGGCCTTGAAGGTGGCCTATAGAGTTAACATCCACGAACTACCATCGAATGTTGTTTTCTCTGTGGTTCTCTGACCTTCCTGGCAGGATTGATCATACCACCATCCCAAGGTGAATTACGCTTTAAGATCCCACATAAGACGCCTGTGGAGCCCCTTTGATCCACTTCCTGGAATGAGTTCCATATTGTTTCTCCATATTTCTGTTGCAAATTACACTTCCTTTTTCTTGCTTGCTTCCCAGCAGAGTAGGAAAACAACACGTCACTCTTTTTTTTCTTCTAAACAATGATGTGCTTGAAGCCTTTATTCAATTCCTCTCCCTATTCTTCCCCAAATGAAACGGTGCCAGGTTCTTTAACCTATCGTCAATAAGAACTATTTATTATCTAGATTTACATAGTGTCTTTTACCCCTGGAACTCAAAATGCTTTCAGATATAATTGAGCCTGATCTCCCTGGTGCCTGAGCCATTAAGAAACCATTAGTGTATTTCTGTTGCCGGCAACTAAATGGCCCCCTAGTGGCCTGAAAGTGAATATGCTTTTCTAAGTGCTTCTCCCCCACCAAGGTTAGGCAGGAACTCAAGAATCAAGGCAAGTTTGGGGACAGAAGGGACCCAAAAGGCCATCTTTGGTGAGTATCCTCAACCACCCTGGAGCCTCTTGTACATCATCCCTGTGGAGCATTCTGCGGCGTCAGCTCAATGACCGTCTCTGCTGCGAGTCTCATTGTCTGCTCCCTGAAGAAGCCCCGTCAGCCTCCGGGGAAGCAATCCAAGCAGCAGCAGGAACTATGGCCATGGGTGTAACAGACACTGTGTCGAGAGGAAGTATTCTCAATTTATCAGGTAGTTACCATCTATCTCCATTTTTAGAAGAAACTGCTTTGAAAGGGTTAAGGCACTTACCCAAGGTCACAGAACTAGAATTCAATTAAAACCTAGCTTGGGTGCTTGATCCCTGCTCCTCTCTGCTTGGCAGCACAGCCAAACCTTGTCTCCGTGGTGGATTTTGTGAGGCACCAGCCAGGTAGCCCATGGGATGGACACACTCATTCCTCTGGCTGGTGTTGGCTGTGAATGGCTCCCCGCTGTTACTGTTCCTGGGAATTGACCCTAGGAAGGCACCAAAGGAAGTTGCCTGTCTCCCCATCTATTAGACCAATAAGTGGAGTGAAATTAGCACTTGCTGGCAGGAGCCAGAGACAGACCTGCAGGTCAGTGGGTGTGGGAAGGACTGAACACAGTCTTGAATCAGCCTATTGTTATGGAAACACTGTCCTATAAAGTCAGGATTTTACACCCTGACAAAGACGTTGGGAGATTGGAGAAACACCAGAAGAAAATGGAATGCCAGAACTGCCATGGAAGAATGTTTCAAAAACAAAAACAAACAAGACAAAAATGAGAGGGGGGGTGCTACAGTGGGTGATATGAGTATGGCTAGGAACCTATTTAAGTTTGGCAGGAAGACTCAGACAATACTTAGGTATCAAAGCAACAAGGAATGTCTGGTGGAAAGGATGCCGGTATGGTGGAGCTTCTTCTCAGAGCAAGCTGCCCTCCGTAGGCCAGCAGAAGCCCTTCCAGAAGGTGAGATTGTTGACACAGCAAATACGAAGAGCATCCTGTTGGGGTTCAGGCTGGTAGATTTCTGGAACAGTCTGATACCACAGCATCTTTCGGGGGAGCTAGCTGGACAGCTCACTATGGTACACTGGCTCACCTGTGCCAGGGGTTCTCAAGCATTTTAGATTCAGGTTTCCAGAGCTAGCCTTGGTAGCACAATCATGTGGTCCCAGCTACCTGAGAGGTTGAGGTAGAGAAACCATTTCAGGCCAGGAGTTCAAGACCAGTCTTGGCAACACGAGTCAGATATAAAAAAATTGAGGTCAACAAAAAACCTTTGTGTGGGTTATAGTTATTGGTATATTGCCACATGGAAAAGAAGGCAGGAATTTATATAATATTTTATTAGGACATTATAATTCCATTGCATGTTAACAAAGAGCATATTTTTGTGAAAATAAGTATATTTATTTTGAAAATAGTTTTTAAAAAGTGGCTTGGCTTTACTTATTTACTTACTAAGTGGCCAAGGCTCTCCTTGGACTCACTGTTTTCCTGCTTCAGCCTTGGAATGCTGGGATTGCAGATGGATGTTACTATGCCTGGCTTAGGGTCCCTGTTTGTTGTTGTTGTTTGTTTGTTTGCTTGTTTGAGGCAGCATCTCACTGTGTAGCCCTGGCTTTCTAGGAACTCGCTCTGTAGAGCAGGCTGGCCTTGAACTCACAGAGATCTGCTTGTCTCTGCCTCCCCAGTGTTGTAATTAAAGACATGTGCCACTATGGCTGGCCAGTTTCACCGTTTTACAACTCCCTTGAATGTTGCTTTATGGAAGACAGCTGGAGTCTTACTTTTGCTGGCACTGTGTTCCTTCGGTCAAAATATATAAAGAAAATCTGGCATCATGTAGATATGTGGTTGGAAAATAGACGAGTATTTTAGTAGTCTTTCAGATCAGTGTGGCTATTTTTTGTACTACACCAAATCTCAATGAGTACTAAGTGGAAGTTGCAATGCAGACTATAAAACGTTACTAGCCAGGCGGTGGTGGCCCACGCCTTTAGTCCCAGCTCTTGGGAGACAGAAGCAGGTGGACCTCTGAGTTCGAGGCCAGCCTGGTCTACAGAGCAAGTTCCAGGACAGCCAGGGCTACACAGAGAAACCCTGTCTCAAAAAAAATCCAAACCAACCAAACAAAAAATATGCACTATTTTTACTATATTAGTGTAATTTTGGTACTTGACACTAAAGTCATTGTCCACCTTGCTCTTGAAATGGCACTTTTACCTATGTATTATTTTGTAACATTCTGCTTTGGCTATTAGGAAAATACTGATTTACTGATATATGCGTATTTTCAAATACTGGAACATTTAATTATGCAATATATAAATCGTATGTAGTAATACCAGAAAGAGTTTAAACCCTTGGAAATCAGTCAAGGTCATAATATGGTACATACAGGTCACCCCAAATCTATTTTTACTTGAAAGGTCGGGTTTTTATCCTTAGTAACGGATGTCAGTTTTTCTCCAAGTGACAGGGACACTTGATTCACATTTGAGGAAACATCTGCCAAGTAGTCAAGTCTGGCTGACAATAGCTTTCTGTCAGTTACTCTCCAAGAGAGAAGGTGGCTAGTTCAGTTCACAACCCAGTCACTCGAGTGACTTCCCCCAAAGGACAGTCATGCTCCCGCGGGGGTAGAGCGCCTTACATTCCGTCACTCGGAGTATTAGAAAGAGATGCATGTAAAGTGTCATGATTAATTTAGTCTAACAGTGGTTGTTGCTTTGTGGAGTATATTCTTAAGTGAAACTGGCTTTTCCTTCCTTTTCTTTCTTTAACTTAGTAATTTATCATTGGTATTCCATTTGGTTCCATTTGGTGCCACTGCCTTGTTGTTGTAGTTTAAAGATGCCAAAAGTTTATGC